GGCGCGAAATACTCCCGTACTCCCGTTTACGTCCAGTTAGCACTCAGATATAATGAGAAATGTCTGGATAGCTGTGAATCCAGCATTTATAGACTATGGCCGCCTACTCGCTTTCTTCCCGGAGAACGAACTAGGGGACTGTTAAATATAATCCACATATGTCATAGGAACTCGCAATTATTAATTAACTCTCTAATTAATCCATTGTCTCCATAAGACGGATACCTTCAAGAGTATTTTTAAATAGATTTTACTTCGTAATCATTCATCATCGTTTAATGAAATCAGTTTAGTAGTACCACGAAATTAAACTTAAATTGTTTCCAAAAAATATTAAAGTATTGTTTTTAAGAATTTACTATAAGTACGTACTTCATTACTTCAAATATTTCTCAATATTTTTTCCCCATTACTCTATTAGAATTTACAAACTCGACGGCAAATCTTAGATATAACAAAATTGGTTGTCTTGGGCAGTAATTAGGCCCGCATTGCATTTTACTCGCCCAACAGTTAAGCCAGCCATTGTGGAATTAGTTTTGATGGCTATCCGATATAGACGAATCACGTTTTATAGTTATTGCAGTCTAAAACCATACATATACTTAAGAATAATCACACCTTCGTTCAATAACAGTACCATATACTTAATATTAGTATTTTTTTTGATGATCAAGAATACCTAATGTATTTGCCAATTGATGTGAAATAATAATGACGTCACAACGTTCTATTTCATACAACATTTATAGAAAATTGACGGTTTTGATATTCAGGTAAAAGTATTGTATTTGACTTGTTGGAAACTACCATATAACCAATTGACATTTTTTTTAAACGAAAACGAACTCATGGAAGTGATTCGACTTTAGACTTGAAACAACAATTTGTGGATTGGTAGACACAAAGAGGGAATCGAACCCGGCACCCGCGACATGTCAGCCAGTTGCACATCCATCACACACTTCACGTTGGATTCAATAAAAGAATGTTGTGATTACAATGGCGATCTTATCACACAAGGCGATTTCTTCCACAACCTTCTTTCTTTTTATGCCAATATCTTAGTAATCGCTATGATTACCTTGGTGTCGTGGTGGCCCGGAGGTTAAGGAGCCCGCTTCTCATGCATGAGGGTGTGGGTTCGAAACCTGGCAAGTACCAATGTGACTTTTTCCGAGTTATATGTACTTTCTATGATTATTTAGACACCACTGACATACGGTGAAGGTAAACATCGTGAGGAAACCTGGACTTATAATTTCTAATTATAAGTTTGAAATCGCCAACCCGCATTGAGCAAGCGTGGTGATTAACGCTCTAACCTTCTCCGTATGAGAAGAGGCCTTTGCTCAGCAGTGGGCATTTATAGGCTGATGATGATGATTACCTTAGCTGACACTTGGCAGTGTCACTAGCTGATCTATAAACAATAAACAACATCGCGCCACGACATAATTTTAATTAAAAATTACCCATCTAATAATAAATCTATGATTCTTTGTTGTAGGTACATAGTTGTGAGAGAACAATGCTCTATTCTTGCTGTAGATAAGATGTGCGGTCTTTTGTTGTTCGCATGCTGTGCTACGATCTCGTGATGAAATTATTTTCTATTTACACAAGGCGCTGCCATCACTACCCGTCTATGTTATCGCGTAGTGCTAAGCTGTATAACATCGATAACGAAGAAGAAAATCTAACTGTGTAATTAATAGATAGTATGTTGTCTATATTAACATAATATTGTATTGTTTGTAAATGTCTTCTGGTACTAATGGTATCATGTAATAGATAATAGTGTGCCTATTGCCATACATGAGCTCCAATATCAGATTCCGTGCTACTAACGAGGAATGCCCGACACGGGAGTCTTTATTTTATGTCGAAGTCGTCAAACGAGCACGGCGCCGCCCAAGGACCTACGTCACACCAGAGGAGTTAGGTTGCCGGTCTTTTGAATTTGGATCGCAGGGATGGAGGGAGCGAAAGGATTGGGCCTCCAGTAACTTCACTCACGAGGTAAACACAACAATAATCTTACTTGGAAGTCCTTTCTCGGCTGTGGCAGTTACATGACACTTAATCAATGAGGCATTGTTAACAATTTATGCGACCCTATCGCATAAAAAAGTATATATACCAAAGTTGAATATAAATCTATGGTATGCAATAGCTGTCTTAGTGGCCTTTGAACCAATGCATCACCTGAGAGTAGTTGCCCAAATACATTGCCGGTATTTCAGGGATAAGGGGTTTGAGGATTGCGGGAAATTAGATATTCCGTAACACACGGTGCAACACAACGATAAAGGATAAACATTTATAAAGGACCTCTAGCAACAATGCAAATTAATAAACTAATTACTCTTGAAAAACATGACTGAACAATATGATTCATTAATTACGCCACATGTAGGAACTTTCCAAACGACAAACATTTTATCAACTAACAAGCTACAATTGAAGTGTTTGTCTGAAACTCGATCATGAGTACTGTATATTCTTCCGTGAACTGCAACAGGGAACATTTGAGTCAGGTGTCTTAATTAGATTACATCGCCAATTCCTAAGTATATTACGTGGTAGGTCAGATTTTTCGAGACCACAACTATGTAGTTTCTCGAACAATAAAGTTTAATTGAAGCCTTCCTTGCCACGTCATTTTTCTTAGTGTTACGTTAATTATGTAAATGTATCATGTATGAAACAGCATTACAAGTAACTGTGGTCGTGACTAAAGAGGATTTTTATACTTTTCATAGTGACTTTTCCCTAAATAAATGTGGATGGATGGAGAGGCAGGGGGAGACCAAAGAAAATATGGATGGATTGTGTGAGAAGTGATATGGAAGACAGAGGAGTTAGCGATAGCGTGACGAGTGACCGGACAGAATGGAAGAAAAAAACATATTGCGCCGACCCCAAATAAAACGGGACAAGGGCAGGAAGATGATGATGATAGTGACTTTTCCCTTCTTCATCTGCATTTAAATATACATGTCGTGGTAGCCACGAGCTTAAGGCGCCCGCTTCTCATGCTTAAGGTTTCGAAACCTGGCGAGTACCAATGTGATTTTTTCCGAGTTATATGTACTTTCTATGATTAGACACCACTGACATAAGGAAAACAGCGAGAGGAAACCTGAACTTATAATTTCTAATTATAACCTGAACTTATAATTTCTAATAATAATTATGTAATTATAATCGAAAATCCGCCTTAAGAAAGCGTGGTGAGTAATGCTCTAACCTTCTCCGTGTCAAAAGAGCTTCCTTTTCTTAATGTGGGCACCGATAGGTCAAAGATGTTATTAAAAGAAGATAAGCATAGAGTTTCTTGTTCGTTCTTCTCCAGGAATATTCTATAGCAAGCCATACTTTGGAACGAGCTAATAGCTTCACTAGAGGAAAGTTGAACTTTTTGATATTTATTCTTTTTGTTTGACGTTCAAAAGTTTGATGGCTGGGGGTTTTTTTTGAAGCATATAATTTGACTTTGCATACTTTTTGCCTCTCCGGTATTGTAGGTGCGTTTACAAACATACAATACAATTTGACATACACACCACACTTAGGCCTGGAACAACAAATTGTTAATCACACAGAGTCGTACCGTGCGGAAATCGAACCTGCGACACGTTTGCGGCAACCAGTTGCCCTGCTACCGCATCAACCGTGCAGTCCGTCTTATCTAAATCGGTTCAGGGATTTATAAAGGAGATCTGTAAAATATCATGTTATAAGTCTTAAGTTAATAATCTCAAAATAATACTCAAATAGTTTATAATAAGACAATTTTTAAGTAAGTATTAAAAAGTACTTCGATATTTAAAACTGTAGATCTCTTTTGTTTTGTCTTACGGGTTACAGTACGGCCGCCGTATCTTGGCGAGTCTGAAGTTAGCCGTTTGTCTGCGCAATGGATCTTTTAGGAACAAAATTGTGTATTGCGCAGCTAATCGGCTAACATCAGACTCGCCAAGATACGTCGGCCGTATTGTAAGTATCCACTATAACTAAAACAGACCTGACTACATTTGTAGATATGTATATATGTGCTGAGAACGAATTATCAGACAAGGTTTACACGTCAAGTAGACCGTTTAGAGAGAAGCCTTAGAAAATTAGAGGGCATTAGGCAAACATAGAGTGACCACAAATATATTTATTACTGAACACGTTGTAAATTCCATCTTGGTGGCGGAAATATTATTTTTTATACTATGTAATGTTTATATAAGTATTTACTTTACACACATCCCTTTGAACGTCTTTGTATAGGAATTTGGAGGTAGCAAAAGTACCAAATTATCCTGTTCAGTTTCTAAACCATTGAAACATTGAAGTCAATGAACATTTCTTAATATCGTAGTTCGATGGAAGCATATAGTACCTTATTTGAAATTCATCATCGTCATCATCGTCGGCGTATAAGTGCCCACTGGATTGATCACCAGTTTAGTTCAAGGCGGATTAGCGCTTTCAAACTTATAATTAGAGATTGAGTTTAGGTTTCCTTACGATGTTTTCCTTCGCCGTATGTTAGTGGTGTCTACATATTCATAGAAAATAGGTAGGTACATATAACTCGGAACCACATTCGTAGGTACTGGCCAGGTCTCGAACCCGCACATCATTACGGATGAAAAAAAAACGGGCGCCTTTATCCCGGGCCACCACGACGACATTTTGAAATTACCTAACCATAGAACCTGGAAATTTTAAAATAATTCTTATTTTTTTATAGTATTGCCATTACTTCATTATATTTTTTTCTTTTGAGCCGCAAAAGCTACCAGGTATTTTGTTTCATAACTATTAAGTGTAAATATAGAGTATTTATGGCAAAGTAAAAATATGTACCTAAACAGGGTGAGTTTATAAAATGCGCGGTAAAACATTTTCCGCGAGAGTGGTCACCCCAACCGATATCCCGTATCGATCGCGAGTGAGACAACAAAGGCACGGTGTATTGCTACCCTGCTCGCGTTTGTCGCATAAACATGAAAACACGACCTTATTTACCGGCACACACAGCTAAAATACACAGGAAAATACAAAAAACTACGTCAGAGGATTAAAAATTACGTAAAACCGTTATTAATTAAGGCAGCTAGTGTGTTAATCCATTGAAAATGTAGTGAGATAGTGTGAAATTGGTATTATTATCGAAAGTGCTGTTAATTCGTAAATACCCTGCGCTGCGACAATGGTAAGTTATCTAATTTATTATTTCTCGCACCCTATTTATATACCTTTTTATGGTACACATACGAAAAATTTCGATAAAAAATGTACGAATTAAAACAACAACTAGTATTAATATGTACCTGAAACCTTTTGAATAATTTGTAAATAGGTTGATACGATCTTTGTTTTTATATAGTCTTTTCATTCTCTTAGTGTCTGTGGCCTAGTTTACTCTACTTAACGTTACTATTCACAATAATTAAGACATTCAATATTATAGTTCCAAATTTAAGTTCGATATATCTTCTCATATCAAAAACAATTACTTATCAAAAATTAAAAAATTAAATATTTTATAATAAAAAAAAAGAAAATATTTGTCTTTACTCGAGCACAACGTTCCACCCGATGATTCTAATGTTCTATAATAATACTACTTGAAACATTAAAATCATCTGATGTTACTATGTAATTTTCTGTCACTGATGTTGATAAGATTACTGTAATTTTGCTCTTGGAAATGACAGTCATATAATCAAAGCTTTATCTCTTGCACAGATATGATAGCGTCTAAAAGCTGCTGAAAACATTGACAGTAGTAAAAAGGGCCATTAGTTACTTGTTTATCAGTAGTTTACATGTTTTAACTATCAACAACATTTGTTAAAAAAACTAAAGTAGGAAATACCTAAGAAATTGCTGATTTCTTTTAGAAACACAAGAATGACTGAACGGAGTGAACGGAGCAAGATGAGCAAGGCTCTAAGCGCTTTCAGCGGCGGGGAGGCCTGTGGGGCACGATGGACCCTCGGAGCCCTCCTCCTGGCACCTCTAGCCGCTGCAAACTCCAGTTACTGTGCTGTTCCTGCAGTCATGCTCCTTGCGATTTTCATCACTATTGCCAGTACGAGCCGTTATATTTCTCTACATCATAAATCTTGTTTTTGATACTCTATGAACATTTAACTACTTAAAAATTTTTGCAGCCTTCACGTGCAAAGATCTCAAAAAACTAGCTGAGATACTTCCACCACCTAAAACATCAAGAGGTCGCCGTGAGCGCAATTTGCGCTCTTTCGCAGATTTCATGGCAATGTGGATGACGTTTCTCTCTCATTTGGTGGCTGTTGCAATCTGTGCTCGTATTCTGAGTGCCACAGCGGATCATGTGACCGGTGGTCGGACCAGAAGATGGTTGTTTGGTTACGAAACTCGAGCACTTGGAGAACCATGGCCTGACGTGCTAGGAGTTACTGTAGTCATGGTCGTTTGTGCCATGTTCATGTGCGGTTTAGAGGTAATCGTCTGTCCATTGTGCAAAAATAGCCGCTTGCTGTATATTGTTACGTAACATGAGATATTTTGTCCATAATAACAGTTCGTTTTGCAACTTTAATAAATCTTTAAGTTTCATAGATTGTAATAATCGATACAGTATTAATTGGATCACAGACAATGATATTACAAAACTCAACATGGAGATAACCGTAACACAGATAAAACTAACTAACGAACTACGTACAGTCCGCCTACTATTTTAATTTATGGCAACGTTTCTTTCAGGAAAGTATGATGTTTACCTTCATGCTGTTAATCCTTCTGTACATCTTCAGCCAGTTCTTTGCTATATTCGGACTGATCAACTTTGATATCGCCAACATCAATATGCCTATACCAATCACCGTGTACGAGGTAAGCAAATACAAAACAGTAGATGAATTATTATAATATTAAGCCAATCGAAAATAATATTAATGAATTGTTTTCAGTTATTTGCAACTGGGGCACCAATATCCTACGCCTTCAATGTTATCCTCCCCAAAGAAAATGGTGCCTTAAAGAAAAATCTTTTCCTCATGATCGGACTTCCCAGTATAGTACTTTCAGGATTATGTTTCCTCTACACTAATATGCTAAAAGGGTAAGTAGATACTTTGTTCTAGAACTAAATCATTTGTCATCAGATTTGCTGCTTTATGTAGGTTGTTGTACTAACCAACTAAACGTTGTATCTAACATTTCATCTTATTACTATCAATGTACGTAACAATGGGTAATCATACGTATCTGTTTACATCCTCGTTTGTTTATGTTGCAGGAGCAGCATCGATGCGGCTTTGCCAGTGACCACACTGCTGGAGGCGAGAGCTGCAGGCTGGGTCTGTCCGGTTCTGGCTGCAGTTACTGTCGCCGGCGTCTGCCTCGCCTTGACCGAGCTCTGTCCGTTACTCTTCACTGTCCTAGTAGCTCTAGCCTCACCCGAATGGAAGGTGCTTACTAGGTCAATGACTTACGAGAGCACGACCACAGGCAGTCCAGTTTTAGCCGTATTTACAGCCGGTTGGTATGAAATCAAATAATGCTAATTACACATTGCATATTTATTTAAGCAATATAGATAAGCTTCTCAGCCAAACGTCGACGTCCTACCAATTAGCAATAACGAACGAATAAATCAGGGATGATGTCATTTAGCAACCCAACCGCGATACTCTGTAGGATAACTGGTTATCGCTTAATCACGTAACTGCTAACTAGAATTATCAAATTACAGACCTGATTCACATTTGTGTAGGTGAAGCCTTAATTGATGTATTATTTACAGGAAGTTTGGCAGCGATACTTGCGTTTGCATGTCCGTTATCACATATGATTACTCTTATGAATGCAAGCCACTTGCTTGGAATATCGATACAGGCTCTACATTTTATTATTATGAGGTGTGTGCCGACAGCTGAGCAAAAGGAAGCTGGAGGTATGTCTCATTTCAAATTTTCTCTTGAATCATAAGTTTGTTCATCTCCTCATTCACAATTTGTTGCATTGCAGATATTGAATATAAACGTTTAGGGAGAGAAGCTGCGAGGGGATCGAAAGCATCTGGAAGTAAGGCCAAGCGTTCGGGACTTTGGTTCATTCCATCTGCTATTCGCCACACAAAAACTCTGGAGAGTATAAAGTCTAAAGTAACGACAAAAGGTACATATTTAGCGTTATCATATCTTCTATTGACATGAATCAACAAGATAATAAATGGATGTATTCATTACAGTATTTTTGAGGGGGGGACACTGTTCTCCCATCCTGGGTGAGATTTGAGGGGTCTTCAATGGACTATTTTTGTATAGGTAACTATTTATATCATTATTTTTGCACTCTTCACAGAAACTGAAGAACGAGAGTGTCTTCTTCTTGACGAATACGCGGGATGTCCAACAGAAGAGAATGATCCAACCAGTAGCAGCAGCGGTGTGCCAATGGCCACGGCTGAGGTGGATGTGGTATCTGATGGTGAAGCAAGCGAACAGGAGATGTCTTCAGGCGATGACTCCACGGACATTGATGCAGTCGTCAAAGAATATAGAGATAGGATACAAGTAAGACAAAATACTTATGAATTAAATTTACAGAATTCAACTTTCTATTAAAATACCTTATTGACACTTCATCGATGTAAGTACTACACAATGTTATACGACGAATCCCTCATAAAAAATGTGTAGTGCAATCTTCAAATTGCTTAATCTAAGTATAATAATTATTTTCAAAAGGCATGGTAGATACGTTTTCTACGACTTTCAACTTAACATCAGGTATAATCAATCTTCTATTGTAACCATGTATACCTAAGTATAAACCAAGATACCTAAATTTATAAACACCTTTTCCCTCGAAGGTGGTAACTTCAGTTCCCGAGTCCAGCACTCCATCTCCGCCGTGTGTGCGTGGCTCACGCTGGTCGGCAGCTGGTGCTGTGGTGCAACTGGTAGCTGATGCCATCATTGCAGTCGCCTTCTGCAACGAAACTATTAGACTGCCAATGTTCGCTATTGGGATACCGCGTAAGAATACTCCTAACTTGCATGTGTTGCTTGGCAAGTCTACGATTAAAATTAAAAGATCTTCAGCCAATTTTCTTTTCTTCGTTTACAGTGTGGCTTACGGGTACCTTTATAAGCGCGTGGCAACCCGCTCATAACTTGGGTATGAGAAAGGGGCAAAGCATTCAAGGTCCCATAACTATGCTGACTGCTCTACTGTTCCTTACTCCGTTACTCGTTGATTCTTGGCCAGCTATAACGCTGTTTGCAGGCGCTGGTAAGCACAAATTTTCCTACAAATCCTTTTAGAGGAAAAAATATCAAATCTCTTGCCTCGTCCTGGGTGGGACAAGGATGAGGGAGTGTCAGATTCATTCTTAGCAAAACTAAAAACTCCTAGTCTGAACTGGGTCTGCAGTGCACCTTACCCGCAGCTCAAAAACATATCCATTCTATTTTGAAATGTCCAGGTGTTGTTGGTTAAATCGTCACAAGGACTCTCAAGCAAAAGACCCCATGATGGATTTCCCCATCTTTGTATTTCAAGCTGAAATACCACCATCGAGTTTACGTTATCTATGTACCTAATTATATTTCAGGTGTTGTGATATACGCTCGTTGTGAACGTTGGTGCGGAGACTTGGCTGTGCAGCAAGCGCGCAGTGCTATGGAGAGACGCAAGTTGAGGCCTGTGTCAGCAACGGTCCCGCTGACTGGAGCCCGTCTGACTCATATAGACACTGTGTATATAGCCAGGTAGCTACATAAATAAGGAACGCAAGATCCACAACTACTTAGATGAAACTGCAAAATTGATTATTTTTTTATTAGCAAATTACCCACTTTTTCTTTATAGACTGCACGGTTGTCGCGATCTCGTGTTATGTAGGCGACAATCCTAGGTGGCCTATAAAAAAGGAATAGGAAATTCTAACAAATTTTAAAATGTACCTACTTAGGTAACATAATTTCAACATGATCCTCAAGACCTTTAATACCTACCTACCTCCCTAAATTGTCGATACCTACATATTAATTTATTTATTGGAGGACCTAAGTAAAATCCGTTTTCATTATTTATTATGTTTTCGGCTTACTCACGTAATAATTTGACGAGATACTCGACTAGTTTCAAGCCATGCTAGAGGCCCATATTCATGAGCAGCATTCCGCGACACGCGACTCGGCGACCGTCGCGCTGCTACTCTGCTGCTACGTCGCCGAGTCGCGTGGAATTATTACGTGAGTAAGCCGAAAACATAATAAATAATTTAGAATGTCTCACGTAAGTTATAATAAAAATCCGTTTTCATTTTCAGATGACAAGAAGATGACTCGGATACGAGTCTGGATAATCTATTAGATGTGGAGGTTGAAGACCCTGATGGTGAATGACAACAGGCTGAGGCTATTATCATCATCGCCCCATAATCATCATCATTGTGATTATTTGTAATTTGAATTTATAAGGACACAGATTGAAATAATAGCTTGAATAACCTGGATTAACACGTTGACTCTATACATTTTTGTAAAATCGTCATTTCAAACGTAATTTTGGCGTATCTCGAATGATATAAAAGCGTTAGGTATCATGCTACTGAATAACTAGCTAGGTGTAAGAAAACTACCTAATTATTAATGAAAAGTTTGCGAAGATGTGCTAAATTACCTAATTGTTACTAATTGGTAGGATCTAACTGTACCTATAGTCATGGTTATCAGCTGAGCCGAGCGGTAGCCTACAGGTTTTATTGCTACTTTCATTAGGGTCCTGATTAAGCAATTAGGTGCCACACGTATTATGCACCTGAAGGCACCTTTCTTTATAAATTGTTGAGTCACATACCTACTACCAAAATGAAAAATAATATTTTTTGCAAGTTTGACTATCTGTAGGTACTGTACTTACCTTGTGATTCTAAAATTGAAATCACGATACTAGAAATAATTGATTATTTAAAGGATTGGACATCCTGAATAAGCCAGTTCATGTAAAAATATGTGCTCTAGTGCCTAGAAAATGTTGAAATTTATAAATGCTAGCTGTTTATAGCTTTGGATATAGTAGGACCCACTTATTAGGGGCACGTTTGATAATACGTAAAACTAGGTAGGTACCTATCTATTATCATAGTACTTTACCTAGTATGTAATTTTTACAAATTGTGCTAGCTTGGTGCGTTTTTTAAATTGATTCATGTAGGTGTGTAAATAAAATACGTTTTTAAATGTCGAACTTACATTATAAAAACTTCATCCGTCCATCCCGCCATTGCAATGTTGGCACGCTTAGCCTGAAGCAATTAATCACGTGTAAGTACTTAGTAATTATAAGAAAAAAAAACTTGTATTTTTTCACTAATAAATTTCGTGTTAGATTAAAAAATTATTGTAAATAAATTGAACAAATTAAAAAGAAATCTCAATGTCGCATTTAATAATAGAAAACTAAATTGATGAAAATGATAAATACATTTTGCAGTTATGTTTAGCTTTGCTTACTATTGTAAGCAAATCGGCCTACACGATGTTATAACAATAGGAATGATCGTGATTAATTTAGCAATAAAAATGCTGGTTCGCATCAACTTAGTTTTATTTCATAGCAATCATTAACAAACAACATAATTATAAGCGTTATTTTTCAAGCAGGTGCATTCTATACACCTTCTCGGACTCTTTGTCTTCAAATCTAGGGCTAAATGGTACATCAATCACTTCTTTAAAACCTTCACTGACTGATGGTTCTTCATATTTGTTCCTGTAACATAAAGTAAGATAAATATATGTCACTATCTGATTAAAAGGTTACTAACTTACAAATAAAAACTGACAAAGTTAAGCTTTCAAGTTATAAACGCCGTAGAGCAATATACATAAAAACTGTGACACACTCCATATTTTGTCCGGTTAACCCCGAGATCGATAGCAGAGATACTAAAAACGTCGTCGTCAAACTTCATCAAGTCATGGTCTGTTGATCTCGAAACGGCAACAACTCCCAAAAACTATTTTAATTAACTGAGAATGATTTAAAATTGGTGTTTGTATTTTGGAAAAAATGTGCAGTGGTTCGATGAGAAGAGCTGCACATGGAGCTCAGAAGCATGCAATTGGGGAAACCTATGTCCAGAAGTGGACGAAATCAGGCTAATGTTTATACTCACTTGTATGTATGGTAAACAATATCATTGACTGGAATGTGGTTGACTTTCATAAGTTCTCTAAATTTATTGTTATGTTTCGCATGAGCTATGGTCGTTGTCATTTTTGCACAGCGGCATCCTACTTTCTTCTCTTTGGCCAGTGACAACCAGCGCCCACGCGATTCCTTATCAGGATTTGTACTGTCTACTATTACACTTTTACCCCTCTAAAATAAAAATATGATAAGTCATACAGACATCATTTTACTCAGTGTATTCTAGTCAGTCACTCCATGTTAGAACATGTGTTTCAACAAGAAAAAAATCTTAGCAACTGATTTTAGTATTAATATTCTAGTATTTAAAAATATAACTCTTATCTATGCCATGGTGCAGGAAGACTGCATCAATAATTTAAGTATTTAATAGGTACCTCAAGCAACTTAGAGGCTTCAGCAGCACACTTCTGCCAGGACCCAAGGACATCTCTACACACAGTAGCATAGTTGTATCCAGACTCCTTTTCAATATATTTAGCTAAAAATGATTTACCACTACCAGGAAAGCCAACTAAGACCAGAATCTGAAAATAAATAATATTTCCTTTATCAATTTATCTCTCTTTTGGTAACTAATACTTTAAATACTAAGAAATATGGTACATTTTTGTTAAGCTTCTTACCTCTTTTTCTTTGCCTATTATATTGTCATTAAATGGTGCATCAGCAAGTTCTTTTGGGTTAAAGTCAGGTTTAGCCATAGGTACATTGGCTATTGAGTGTCCCAGGAAGAATTGTTCTGGTGTAAAAAACTTAAGGTTTAGATTTTCAGCCATTAGCTTATCAGCCATTGAATGGTCTTTCTTTTTCCCAGGAGCCCAGTTAGCAAGTCTGCCAGCTGCATCACCACAGTAAAAACTTTCAGCCATATTTATTTTCAAATCACCATTTTTCTGTAAACAAAATTTGTTATATACATGAAAATAGCCTTAAAAAATTATAAGCTAAAAAAAAATTTCTGCTTTATTCCTCACTTTTTCTGAAAGCACTTTCCACATCCCGGTAGTTGGTTTCCTATAAAACCCTTTTCCAGTAGCTATGTACACTTGAAATGGAACATCCAACTTAGTTACTATATTCTCAATTTTTTTCTTAAAATCTTCTATTTTAACCCTGCCATTCCCTATTGGAGCTTGATTACTTAATATCACAAGTTTGTAATTATCTTCTACATGTTCTTTTAATTTTTTTTGTACTGTTGGGAAAGCAATTTGCCAGTCATTTGTATCAACAGGATGTACTTTGCCAGATTTTGTTTTTATTAAAGTACCATCCATATCAAAAGCTGCTATTTTGTGGCTAGGCTTGACACCTTTTGAAGTGAACACATACAATTCACCTTTGTCAATATCTTCCCATACATTATCTACAGCAGGTTTACCAGCCTTTCCTTCATCAGACTCCATTTTTACACTCTTTCTCTTCCTTGGAGTTTCTTCTTCCTCTTCTAATTTTCTTTTATTGCTTAATTTTGGTTCTTCATAATTTTCTGGAGGAGGATCAAACTCTATGACATGAATATAATTGTTTAACAAAATTTCAATTCTGGAACCATGTTCAACTTTATACTCTACATTTCTTTTTAAAGCGAATCCATTTAGACCTGACGTATTTACTCCCAGTTGTTTGACTTCAACCGAGCACTCTTCACAGTTGGCTTTTAGAGAAACTGTAAAAGATTTTATTAATGAAAACCACCAAAATTAAAGTTAATGTTGCGATCGAAAGAAACAGTCACTTACGTTGCTGACGAGAACATGTCTGATCTTTAATATTCGTTAATTTACTGCGCCCAATTATTGTTTCAACATTGTGGATTAATTTTATCGGCGCATGGGACCCCAACAGACATTTAAAAAAACAAGAGCGCACAGTTGACCCCATGTAAGAAAATGTTGTCACTAGACAATATGCAAATCAATGTTATTGAATGAAATTTCTAAAAAAAAACACGTTTTAAAAATCAACAAACATTTTGGTTATTTCTATTTGTCATTGAATTTTATATTGCACATGAAATTGACATAATGTCAAGGATGAAATCATTTGACGAAGTCATTTGATTTTGTCAGTCGCGTTTTATTTAGTGGTAAATCAACGCAGAACCTTTAGTAACAAAGTAATTTTCTTTGTCAATAAACAGCTTAATTTTTTTGTTATCTTTTTAACAATTAACATTCAAGTTTCTGAATAAAATATTTTATTTGTGTATGTATCATTAAAATTATCCATTTTTAGTTTATTAGGGGAACTTTTTGATTTTTGTTTTCAACCTTTGACAATACTGACATGTCAGCAGCTGTCAGCGTGAGGTATCAATCAAATGTCAATTTGTCATATTTGTGATGGCAAAAAGAGGTGCTCAAGTGCTCGTACTGTTTTAAATCAATTTACACGATTTAATAAAGTAATTAATACATATATATGAATGAATGGTCAAATATAACTTTCAAAATTTGCTACCGATAGCCACTATTATTTTAATAAATTGATTGATTGCAGGCAAAATTAAGGTTTGTGAACAAATACAAGAGAATCAAATTCAATGACGTGTATTTACTACATTGGTACCTAGTGTCATATGGATTTATAATATTTTTCAATCAATTTCCAGGCTGTACTTGCTGCAATCATGCCATTAACTAAGCGTAAACATTCACCTGAGAAGGAGGAATTGATTGAAAATGGTGATAATCAAACTGAGGGACGTAGTAATATCAAGGGAGATGAGTTTAATATAGCTGTGCTACTATTTCTTTATACCCTGCAGGGTATACCGCTTGGACTTGCAGGAGCTGTACCAATGCTTCTTCAAAATCGTGGCATAACATATACTCAACAAGTAAGTATTTTTTAATTCATACTTTTATTTTGCTGCAGCTAATCGTAGTAGGTAGGTACATAAAGATTTAACTCGTAAAATTTCTTATTAGACGACTATGTTATCTGTAAAATAGGAATGTAATTAAAAACTGTATTGATTGTATGAGCTTTTTATTGTTGTACTTTGTTGATGACTGATTAGGTTTGAGTTTAGAGCTAAAGTTAAAATAGCAAATACCTTGTGTAAGAAGAACCTGTACTTAATGTTAACAATTTTTATCCCTATAGTTTTTAATGTTGAAAAATAAAAAATGCAAACAGATAAAATCAAGTACTTAATATAAATGGAAACTTTAACTACCACACATTTTCTTGGCACAAATGGCATTTTGTTTTTTCAGTTAATATAGCAAATAGCAAAAAAAACATATGGAATAAAATGTTTACTCTCAAGACAAATAGGAAAAGTACCATCTTGATGACATAATAAATTACTTTATCCTATATTTGAATATGATATTAATAATACTAAGATAGATCCGAATAATATGGTATATATATATATATTGGAATCTCAAATAACCCTTGGACCTTTAATATATATTTACTTTTTCAGGCAGAATTCAGTTTTGTCAACTGGCCGTTCAGTGTAAAGTTATTATGGGCTCCTATTGTGGATGCCTTATTCTGGCCACAATTTGGTCGAAGAAAAACTTGGCTTGTACCAGTGCAATACCTGATTGGTATTGTGATGATCATAATGTCATATAGTGTTACTGATTGGCTGGGTGATGATGACATACCACCTTCAATGACCATACTGACAATATCATTCCTTTTCCTTAACTTTTTGGCTGCCACACAAGATATTGCTGTTGATGGATGGGCTCTTACCATGCTTAAAAGGTAAAACAAACTGAACATTCACTATTACTCAACACTTTAATTATTAAGATCCTTATAATATTAGCAAGATTGTAATTCTATAAAGCAAAAGGATACTTTATCATAGATAGTTGAGTTTGAAATGACCTTATTATGTAACTTATCAGTGTGACAAATCTATAATAATAACTAACTTTTAAGTGATAAAATCACTAATCACTTCTGAAACTATGACACAGCAAATCTGGTAGTCATCATATTTAGCCTGAAATAAAGTAATGTGGCAATCTGTCACAAGATGTAGACATGGTAATTCATTAATATTAATGTTGTCCTGTGTATTTATAGTTAGATCAAAGATATCATCATTAATTTCATAATTTCCAGGTGCAATGTTGGTCATGCTTCAACCTGCAACACTGTCGGACAAACAGCTGGCTTCTTCCTTGGATATGTAATGTTTCTAGCTCTGGAATCTCCTTACTTCTGTAACAAATACTTGTACTTTGAGCCTCAAGCTGAAGGACTTGTGACACTTGCTAGTTTCTTGCTCTTCTGGGGTTGGGTGTTCATTGTGACCACTACATTGATAGCGGTATTCAAGCATGAAGCAAATGACGCTCCAAACACAAAGGAGAATGATGTGAAGGGATTTAGCGATGTTGTGACCGCTTACAAGCAGTTGTACACTATTATAAAGCTTCCTGCAGTGCGTACACTGGCTCTGGTTTTGTTCACTGCTAAGGTAATTTTTATATTATGCTCTTCTTTATTGACAAATAGTTTAGTAATATTTAGTATGTTTAGTTTCCTCTACATGAAAAAATGTTTTCAGCTTGGATTCTGTGCCAGCGACGCCGTCTCGGGGCTAAAACTTGTGGAAGCTGGAGTGCCGAGAGAAGACTTAGCTCTACTTGCAGTACCATTAGTCCCAGTACAGATCATAATGCCAGTGGTAAGTATTTCGAAAATTTATTACAAGTTTATATTTTATGTTTTTGCTATATCTATCATAAACTATTCAAAATTTCGACTAAGATATTTTAGTATTCGTACTTTTACGCCTTATTTACATACAGCCATATTTAGCTTATGTAGGTGCGGTATGAGTTACGCGTGCTCTAATCATAGTATTTTTCCAATTATCCAATAAAATCAACATATATTATGTGGTCCTTAACTAATCTCAAAATTGATACCTGTCTAATATATACGATTGTATAACCCTTGGTTTTTTTTTCAGCTCTTGGCAAAACACACAACAGGTCGGGAGCCACTCTCACTATGGCTACGTGCCTTTCCGCTGCGGCTGTTAGTGGGTCCACTAGCTGCAGCGCTTGTCGCGATCACTCCCACCCTACTGAATGATGCGCCCCCCTCCTACTCATATTTATTCATTTTGATGATACTCTACATATTCCATCAGGTATGTGAACCATTATTAAGTTTTAAAAATCTTACTGTAGACTGTTGACTGTAGGTATACTTTAAATCAACCTAAACCAGCATTTACCATATACCTGGATTCCATTCTTATAACTATTCTTGCAGACATGTCTCTACTGCATGTTCGTGGCTGTGATGGCGTTCTTCGCTAAAGTATCAGATCCAGCTGTCGGCGGTACCTACATGACCTTCCTCAACACGATGTCGAACCTGGGAACTAATTGGCCTAACACTCTCGCTCTATGGGCCATTGACCACCTAACCTTCAAACGATGCTCATACTCAGGACTCAGTGACAACACATGTTCTTCTGAAGCTGAGGAATCGGTAAGTAAATCAAAAGTCATTTTTTCATATATTCATTAAGTCTAATTTTTATCACTAGATGGCCCAAATGAAGCGTGAGATCAGTGTGACCAATCACTATCAAAAATGAAACATCCAAATATTTGACTCTTAATATTTTTCTATAGGACAATCAGAACCACGCTACAAAAAAGAAAGTTACTTTCATTTCTTTCTTATTAAATAACTGTACTGTCATCAAAACAAAAATTTTACCAAAAATAGCTGAAGTATATTATAGATTAATAGATTATAAAAAAACCAGGAAAATCTGAACTGTTATATGAAATAAATGTACATGTAATATAATATAGTTACTGATAATAACCCAGTAATAACATACTTCCTATAATAAATAAATCATACTTTTCCTTCTAGGAATGTAAGTCTTTCGATGGCACATGCGAAGTGCGAATAGATGGATACTACATAGAAACAGTACTGTGTTTAGTCATCGGCTTCGTTTGGCTCATGTGGGGAAAGCCAACCATCAACAGACTGCAACGACTGCCTGCTTCAGCCTGGCAAATAAGCCGATATAACAGATAAGACTGAATCTCGTTAATTCCCCTTTAATATAATAAATTAATATGTATATAATGTAAAGGTATTCAAGGCAATATGTCTTCTGATTACTCATACAGTACCCTATCCTTAGATAGTTACCTTAACTCATATCCCAGAGGAAATAATTGGTCTTTACCGATTGTTTTTTTTTTATTTAATCTGTCCACACTAGGATTATTTCAGTGCTTTGGGTAATTTTACATACACATCACAAGCAAACCTGGAATAATAATAATTATAGATTATGCAAAGAATTTGCTTCATGTTAGGATCCAACTTTGAATGCACGATTGACGCAGTGGCTGGCATTCCGACAATTGAACAACACTTTGTGATCCACAAATTGATGTTCCAGGTTTAGTGAGATGTGTATGTTTATAAAAAAACGCATCCACGACACAGACGAAAATACTAGTCTGAGGCAATGTTAAAAAATTAAACAAAAGAAAGAGCAATATTTTACATTTTTTTATATTGTATTTCGAAAATAGTTTTTGCATAGGTGAAGACTATTTTATACCGCGTTTTATAACTCTGATAAATAATGCAAAAAAAAACCTATATTTAATTAGTTTCTAATGATAAAGACTCCTATGTTCCATAGAGTGATTCGATTCCTTTACTGTTTATTTAAAGTATTACTTGTTCCAGCCAACGATACCTACATAAGCACAATTATTATTGCAAGTGATTTCACAAATTTGTTTTTAAATGCAGTCTGTTGAACAGAGTGTTATTATGTTATTTCTTCTAAGGTTGCGATTAGTTATAAATTCTTCTTATGATTATTTTAAAATGTTTAATTATTAGTCTTACTATCGTATTTATTGGTGCTCTACATTGTAGTGTAAATTTTGTTTTATATCTTTATTATTATTATTTAGTTTTATTATTTCTAGACATATATCTCTCCTTGTTCATCCATATTCAAAATCTTCATTTATTTTTAGTTACAAACCGGTCTACTGGTCCTTTCTTGCCGAAACATACGCATCTTCATATATAATAACATTTTCATACATCTAAAACAATGAAAGACTAAATTTTATTACTTAAAAGCCTAGCTGAAGTTGAATTTGTAACATAGCCCCACACTTTAATATGTATATTTTAATAACTATGTATTTGTATCTTTATAAGAAGTGCAATAAGTAAATAAAATGATTCCAATATTGTGACATTCTTGTATAATTTTTATATAAACGTCAATGACGTATATATAAATATAGGTATCTGTTAAGTAGCATAAATTAGAATGAAGGGTTTTGCCCTTCTAGAGGTGATAATATAGCTTAAGGTCTATTAACCAATAGAATAATTACCATTTGTGACAACTACCCTGATTGGACTAATAAAGACCACTAGCGCCATCTCTTGAGCGCAAATTAAAACCTGAGTTCCAGGTAATTTTAGGAACTATTATTTAGTTAATACATATAATACGTTGTTATGTTGAAAGCTTAAAAAATATTGTCTAATATACTATTACGTCCATTTCATAACGAAGTATTAAATTAAAACGTACACCACCATAGTATGTATTTTTGTCGATAGTACAAACTTTTATTGTTTTTACCATTTTCTGTATGTTATTATAATATTTTTTATGTATGTGTGATAACTTATGTAAATAAATACGAAGTACAGGGAGTAAAGGAAAAACAGTTAATACGTAAGTATTATTATTAGTTTCTTTATGTACACATCAACACTTAAAATATACAATATTTATAACAATGATTCTATAGTTCATTTCTATCTATATATATTTTGCGCCATATTTATTATAATTATAGTTACAATAAACCCATACATGTGATGATTAGTATACAATATTAGGTACACTTTGTGCTAACTTGCAACTGTCATATATCTCTAAAATATAAGTAATAAAAATATCAAACATAACGAAGCATTTGGAAGAAACTTTTCTAAATAGAATAAATGCGACATAACGGAATTTACCTTATGGCATACATTTTGTGCACTCATACATTACAATAAAGCATCATAAATTGCAACAAGATCTGGATTAACGTTCACAAACATATAGGATCACTTTTTATAATTATATGGGTCCTATTTCTTTAGATTGCCATAGTCGTGTGACTAGGGTGAATACCGAAACACCAAAATAAACAAAAGTTGATTTTGATTGCCAACAACAACTTAGTTGCGCAACTAAGTTGACACCGACACCTTCCTTTGAACCGTTTGGTTGCACGATTAGTCTGAGTGAAAACGAGCCCTTTGCCTTATGTTCCCAGAAGAGTTAGGCAGAGGTCTCTTTGTTTTAATTATTATGTATAATAAAATACTAAGACGATTTAACACTCATATTACAACGTTACACACATTTTGTAATACATTCAAACAAGTAAAAAAAGCTATTAAGACCTATGCAGACGAGGGACTATTTATGGTATATTGTTTGTCTTAGTCCGAACCAATTTCAGACAAAAAATGACAGATTTAAAATACGAAATCTAAAAATGTCTGATTGAATTGAAAGATTGAAGACTTTCGACGTTAGTTATAATTATTTATTTGTTTTTTTTTTTTAAATTTTTCAATATATGTATTTCGCAATCATTTTTTTTTCTCGGCAAGACTGTCCCTCGTCTGCATAGGCACATAATGTTCTCGACAATTTCAATATGATTGTGTTGTCGCAGCACTTTGTTTGTTTCTATACATTAATTGACCCTGTAATATTTAAGTTGACATTAATATGGCACTATGAAATGAATTTTGTTTGACAATAAAAAAATAATTCGTAGTTTGCGCTTTTTCATTATTTTGCATTGCAACACAACATTTTAATGACACTTTGGCCACGAAAGCGACATCTATTTACAAATTAATATACATTTAAGTATGAGCGCTGAAATAGTCCGCATTATAGTTTGGTAAATAGGTTTTTTTTTTACTTGCAATAAACTAGTGCTTGACTGCGATCCCACCTGGTGGTAAGCAGTGATGCAATCGTACATAAAAGGTGTTTGAATTTTGAGATTCAATTTATTTACTATTCTACAGGCACCTGTAAACGATTGATAAATAATTTATTATATACGATCACGCTATACAACTCTTCTAATTTAGATACTTTAATTATTATTTTTTTAATATTTTTCATTGCATACACATTGTCTATTTCCATAATATATTGCCTATAAATATGGATTTTTTTTCATTAGGTACTTTTTACTCTTACGTTAATAAACTCGGATACATCTATAACCAAGTAAGTAAAATTTACATAATTTCCACTATTCTGCTCGTTAAGCCTTAAAAATACCACCCATATAATAAACTTTATCAGAAAGCACAATAACATATTTGTGTGTGGTCATTAATTTAGTTCTCCATTTTGTGGCGACAGTGATTATTTGTTACTGACACAATATGAAAATGGCAACACATTGACGAAATACTTATTTAAGCTGGCAAGACTAAGAAACCGCGTTGTTTTTAAATTAGGAAAGAAACATATGTGGTGTTTAGAATCACGGTTCGCGCCTCGATAGGTCGTCGTCGCTAATGATCGGTTTACGGTCGTCACCCTTGCTGCCGCGAGCGAAACGCCCAACACGACGAGCGATAGCACTGGTCTTTTCAACAGCACCCCATCCCCCACTGTGACCTCCGCCACTAGCTGACCGCGACAGAAGTCCCGTGACACCCTCGCCCAGTTTGCTATGGTGAATTCCATACAGGAAGTAAAGGAGCAGGCCTGAAATGTAAGTAGTTTACCATTCGTTAAATTGTCTGTAGTGTTAGATATAAAAAACATTATTGAATATTTCTATGAATCTTCGACGAGACGAAACTTACCGAAAGTCATCCAAATAGCAAATCGAGCCCAGGTGAGTGCGTTAAGGTTTATCATGAGCTCAACATTGAGCATAACACTCAGAGCCGGTAGCAATGGAACCCATGGAACACGGAAAGGCAGCCGTGTTGGACTTTGTTGGTGTGCCCAAATTATTACCAAACCTGAAGAAACATAACCAAAATATTAATTTAAGATATCTATTATATACATATACTTAAATAATTGATAAAAACCCAATACATGTATTATGAACTATATACTCACAAGCAACAATAATGAAACTCAGGACAAAATCTGGGAGCAAAGCCCACAGCCCAGCCGGTTCAGCTAAAAAGTGGTTGTGGGCACACAAAGCTGCAGCGGCAGCAGTAAACGTGTATACACAGCTCGTAACGGCAGCGCCAGGAGCCCTGCCACCTGCCAGGGGCTCCAACCAAGCGTATTGAGCCCGGAGACGACCAACTGTTAAAGCTTCAAACATCTGTAACGATAAAAAAGATATAATAGATTCCAAACTAAATTATATCTACACGTTATGTGGGTCAAAATGAAATAGATACTTGCCTCAGAAGAAGATGAACCACCGTCAGTACCCGGAGTGCCAGTCGCAGAACTATCTTCCCTGTCGCCAGGAGACTCTAGCTGTGGAACTCCAAAACTCTTGTCCTCCACCGCAGGAACAGGCCGGTAACGTAGTATGATCACTGCAGCACTGACTATAGTATACGCTAAAAGAGTTCCAATAGACATAAACTCCACAAGCTTCTCCAAATCAAACAATAACGCTATCAAAGCAGAAGACAACCCAGAAATAATCAAATTAACAATAGGAATCTGTGACTTGTTGTTGATATCGCTAAGGAAACCAAATAAGAGACCATCAGCGGACATGGCATATAGACAACGTGGTAAAGAAAACAAGGAGCCTAACAATGTCGTGGTCATACCGCACACGGCGCCTACGGCAACTGCATATTTAGCCCAATCTGCATGAACTGCACCGAGGGCAGACGGCAACGCAGCATCCGGGTTGATTGTTTGATACGGAACCATCAACGTCAAAGCGAGAGCTACTAAAATGTAGCCAAAAGCAACAAGTGCCATTGACAGAATGGTAGCAATAGGGATTGACCGCGACGGATCCTTAGCTTCCTCACTGGAAGCTGATATACTGTCAAAGCCCACGAACGCATAAAAACATGTAGCAGCTCCAGCTAACACGCCACTCACTCCATAAGGCATGAAGCCGCCATTCTTTTGGGACCAATTACCGATATCAGCGTAATAGAAGCCAAGGAATATCACAAGAGATATAACCAAGAGGTTTAGGATTGTGAGGCCGTTGTTTATGTAGGCTGAAGTTTTCACACCAACCGCTAAAATTAGAGATGCCACAATGCATATTAAGAATGCTAAGACGTCTGGATATCTACTCAAAAGAGTTTCGTGCATTTCCCCTGTTATGGAAATCGTAGCGTTGCTTATAGCGCCGTCCAATATGGCATCAAGATAGCCAGACCAAGCTCTAGCCACAGATGCAGCTCCTGCAACAAACGTTACGATTATGTAAGCCACTTGAAATAAGTAGAGACGAATATACACACAATTGAGTTGTAAAATCTTACCTATCATATACTCCAATACGATATTCCAACCTATGATGAAAGCCCAAAATTCACCAATGCTGACGTACGTGTAAGCGTATGCACTGCCCGCTCTCGGAATCCTAGTTCCGAATTCAGCATAGCACAGAGCCGCCAAGGTAGATGTTATTCCAGCCAAGAGAAAACTTAGGGCAGTTGCTGGTCCTGCCATATGACGGGCGACGGTACCAGTCAAGACGTAAATACCAGCTCCAACCATATGCCCCACACCTGAAATGAAATGAAGAAATAATTTTGGCATTCCAATCAAGTATTGCGGAGATCCACTGACGTCATTTATTTCTAAGATCTCACTTTTTGTGGGAACTCGCCATCGGGAACAAAGATCGCTTCGAGATCTCCCTACAAAACACACACACGAGTATAGACTTTATTATGGACTAAGTAGAGGAACTAGGAACAACGGCGTATTTCGTTAGTACATGCGGGGGCTCTTACCCATTAGCCGCCTTAGTCCCTATTTGTAAACAGTATATATATTTCCATTATAGCTCAAAAATCTAACTTCTTTCAGTACTCGTTTGCACACTACTAAAAATATCTTAACAACAACGTACAAATATCTGCTTACCCAGTAAAGTGATATCCAAGGTAGTAAGACATCGGTTCAGCGGGGTATCCATTGAATCCCCGTATATAGGTTTACGGCGATTCATCTTATGGCAAAAGCCAGAGAGGACGTGCCCAAGTATCTTATGCCTAGCCCCCGGCATCGTGACGTTGTTTTCCTGAAAAAGGGAAAATAATACAATCAATTACACTTATCCATCTATAACCGCACTTTAGTCTTGTTAAGCAAGAGTATTAAGAGAGGGCCTTTAGTGGTTCAAATATAGGTCATTGAAGATTTAATTGGAGTTGCACTGCACTACATGAAGATTGTCACTATGATGGTAGATCTATATTAAGAATGAAGCACAGGTTTCACTTCTTTACAAAGTTTAGGGACTTTTATCAGGAGTTACTTTTACTGGGCATTTCACAAACTTATTTAACAGAATCTTAACTTATTATTTGTAACTTTAAGGCTTTAAACAATACCTGGCGATGTTAAAAGGCCAGCTGACGATATTTGCGTGAACTTGTTCCAACTGTTAACCGAAGATAGGTCGGCGCGCGCAGCCAAGTAATCGATTTCTTGATATGTACATAATACAGTGATAACCGCGTTGTGTTGCACGTTTAGAAGAATTTGTTTCAAATAGATTGTAGAATTAAATAAAAAAAGACTTAAATTACAAACACTACAAAATGTTCGCGGATGAATAAGATATGAAGCTATAATAGTAATGGGAATGAGTATGAACCTACGTACCTAAGTAAACAAACGCTTATCGTGTCGGTTCATTGTAGCGGAAGGCCTCTTAGGATCTATGGTTATTTAGTCAACAAACAGCGGAAGTCTGAAACATTAAATGATATAGTTGAGCGGTTTTGACCAACCGGAACATCATAATATGTAGGTAGCGTCGTAGCATCTAGTGACATGTTATTTTTGAGCTCGTCGTTTTATATGAGACAGATTGCCCCCAGGCAGGCATATGAAATGCATGGAATCGTCACAGTCCGTCCACTTCCCTTACCTACATTACAGAGCAACTATGGGTTCAAACTAGTAGTAGGTTCTGTATGCGTTACAAACATGACCTATGACAACAAACAGCTACAACATATACATAATTAATAGATGTGGGTAAGTTCGTATGTACCTAGTAGGTAGGTACTTATTTATTTCAACATACGAAATATTTTATCACCATGTTTCAACATGAGGTGACACCTGTTTTCCATAAGGATTGATAAGACTTAGTAGCCGTCTCATTACAAAAACAATACCATTACCTTACCATACCATGTTGTATGTGGTCTATTACCAGTAAAGCTTTATAGAAATCTATTTTGTTTGGTTTCTGTTATACCCAAGGATTTTTATATTCACTACACGTTAGTGCTCGTATTTTCTGCTCTCTATATTCTGGGTATAATTGAATAAAAATAAACATGTACCTAAGTATCTAAAAATATTGAACAACAATAAAAAGCAACGATTACAACGTAAGTTGATTAATAACATCATATCCAGCGTAATTGGCAAAAGCTTTCAAGTCAATATAAACATGGAGTATAAATACCGTTTACTACTTAATCCGGGAGTACCGCGAACGATAGCAATAAAATTGTTTGCTATCGAATGAAGTGAGAACAATGTTCATAGAACTGGGTCAACCGCAGATCGTTAACGAGCTGACCAACGAACAGCCGAGCTAGTGATTTTTAACGTGCCTAGATAAAGTAGGCATATCTCCCTCGCTTGCGTTACATAAAACTATCCGCATGTTGATAGGCGTGTAGTTTGGCGTACGGTTGGCACAATTACAACACAATTGTGTTTTACCTATTAGGCACGGTTTTCTGGTTTTTGTAAGCATAGGAATGGATTTTCGGAAAAAAACAGTCCAAACATAACTGACGATTAAGTAATGAATGCCTACCTCTATCTACAGGAATTCAAAATCAGTTAAACATTAGGCATTAGTTAGTACCTAGTGATATAGGCACAGATAAAGCTACTTTGTTTCATACTATGTATCTCCTACCTATCTAGTGATGAAGGGATCTATTACTTAATTGAGAACATGTAGGTAGTCAGTATACCTATAACTACTACTACTACAACTACTACATAGTATAAAACAAAGTCGATTTCTTTATCCCTATATCCCTATGTATGCTTACATCCTACCCACCCGCCTAATTGAAATCTGCTATTAGTCGGTTAGATGATTGCCTAAACCTAGTGCTACCAATACCTTCGATAAAAAAAGAAATAGCTCTAGTAATCATGTGTTTATAGGCATTAAAAAGACGTAATCTATTAACACAATAGACGGATACGACTGCTATTTTCACTTGTAGGTTAATCTTCGCTAAGTCGGTCAGTAGGTGCTCAGGCTCAGGCAGTAATTACCTACTTCAAAAGAAACCAATCCTATGTAATCGAAAAGAAATCTATATAATAATATTTAAATTAACTAAAAATCGCGGGATACTCATGTGTATTTGAGAAAAGCTCTAGGTACTAGTTTCGAACCACAGAAGTAGGCTGCACGACATCGCCGCGTCCGCGCACGCTGCTCATGATGAAGAACCCCTCTGTCAGCCTCTGTGTGTGTTCGAAACTAGTAGAGCTTTTCTTAGTATACTCACATGAGTAAGGCGCGATATTTAGATAATTTAGTATGTCTCACGAAAAAAAAATTCTATATTTGTTACCATTTTAACTTTATCTATTCCTATGGGCCTGTTTTACAAAGCCTGAACTCGTACGCGCAATAATGCACCGCGCGACCTCGGCCTGTAGCAGGAGAAGGAACGAGGTGAATTTAGTCTCTGACACTCCCTCTTGCCCCACCCTGACTGAGTCTTGGTAGTCTATTGACGATTTTCCCGCTCAAAACGAGCTCACGTGAATTAACTAAAAAATAAGGCCCACAATAGTTTCCATCTATACAAACATTTAAATATCGAAAGTAGGTAATCAATTATGAAATTAGTGCAAAAACGTACCTTTTCGGTTAAGGATTAAGACCTATATTAAGGCGCTGAAAGAATTCTTATAAAACTGAAGGTTCTTGTTTGTACCCTTAGTGGGTATCTTCATCTTCTTAGGAACTAGGTAGGTACTGATTTATTTATAGAGGAAACTTACTTACGTAAAGGCTATAAAAAACACATTACGACCATTAGGAGACGAAAAGCGGGTGAAACCGCGTTGGACTATAAGTTATTTAGCCTGTAAGAGGTAATTCAATGCGACATGACATTCTTTATTTGTATTATCCCGAGAGAGAAATATCTGCCTGTCACAAAAGGAATTACGTAGGCAGGCAGGTCCTTCTACGCAACCAAAGCCCGCCTACGCTATCGATGTTTCCCGCATTTATTTTTAACTTGAGCTAACCCGGAATTTGGTTTTGATAATGGATAACTTTCCATTCAGAGAGTTTGCTTATTTCCCCGAGATGTAAATACGGGTTTAGAGAATAACGAACAATGTTTGTTTAACAAATATCAAACAACAATATTACAGTTCCCCAAACCGCGAGCTGGAACATAGTAACATAGAACTGGAGTAGTATGAATTATTCATATTTCTTTTGTTGGTCTTGGGTACCGACCTTTGTTGAGATTTGGCCCTCGGTTGCCCAGATTCTTAGAAGAAAAGGCCGCAAGTGCGACCGATACAGCAATGAAGGGACATGAGTAGAAATAAAGGATATGGTAGTGTACCTATACTTTTTTTCGGTTGTTGCTTCAGCGAATTACTTACTAAAAGTAAGATGGTTTATTTCAACAGTTTTCCCATCATGACACTTCTATAGAGTTAGATACCAAAGTGTTTTTATATTATTCGATTGACAAGGTAGGTACATATTTACCTACCTACTTCCCTCTTTAATCCTTAAATCTCCAAAAGTTGCAAGGCACTGACAACTCTTCGAGGGATGCAGGTGTCTGCGGGCGGTGCGTATTGCCATGCATCGGGTAATTGTCCTGCTCGTTTGTCACCATATTATCACATAAAATAAGGAAACTAAGTATCTTAAGACCCGTGCATTCATTAATATTTTCCTACTTAGGTACCTACATTTCATTTATCTTTCTTTGGAACAATAATAAAAATATAAGGAATAAAACCAATCTTTCATATAAGTACTTTAACATTTTATTTCTAATTTCTTATAGGTATTAGGTACAGACAAAATGTAAACTTTGTTTACAAAATATATAATAATAGGTATATAAGTAGGTACAACATACAGGATACTTTATAATTTAAATTTATTATTACGAAAATGAATAAATGAATTACTACAAGAAATAACTGAAATGTTAAAAATAAACAAGACACCTAACACATATATGCAGGTACCTCCAAATGAGTGATGCTAAGAAAATGTAGGAAATACTTTTTTCCACTGTTGTATTGTTGGTGTCCTCAACAAAAGAGGAGTTTTCTATAACCTTCATTCTAGCAAGCGGGTTGGAGATCGCAATTTAAAAGGATTAGCTTTATCTTAAATTAATGACGTAACACGTAGGTAACACGGATTAAATTTGCAGACTCTAATTCAAGACAAATTCCCTTAAGTACCTAGGTAGCTATAGTTAGTTAGGTTACAGATATAGATTTTCTTAATATTAATGTCTGCTTTTCAGTCTATTTTAACTGTATATTTTAAATGTTAGATATTAATTCACAAAGCAAGTAGAGCAACCCACACAATACTAGAAATAATTATCTTTTACACGCTTGATACAGACAGATTACTCAAATTAATTTCACGAAGAACTCCAAAAGAAATGTTGAAATACATTATTCTTTTGTCTGAGATTGATATTCATATTAATTAGATACGATTTGTTACAACTGAGTTGTTATAACGAGCAAAGGTAGAACAAGGCGAAATTATTGTAAGTTTAGAATTATTAAAAGTAAGTAGATATTTACATAAAGCAATAATTACTTAGATACTTATCAAGAATCAAATCAAATGATATGTTTACGCGTCAGTCTTAAGAAAATTTTGCATTAAAATAAAAAATATACAATTAGGTAGATAGGTTACACAAAAACATCGGTATATTATAAATTTATAAGTAATTAAATTACGTCCTAAATGCCTCATAAAATTAACCTTATTAGTACCTAATGAAAAATTATCAACAAACAACATATATACATTAATATTGGAATTTTATATAAGTTGATACTTTAAGCTTGTTGGGAATTATTTTAATGGCATGCTCGAGTATTTATCTCAATATTATAGGTACGATGATATTTACTTCCAGGCCAGTGCTACGATAACACAGAATAGAGGGTCTATTACATACAACCCATTTATAGACTCGAGTTATTATTAGAAAATATACCTATCTATTTACATACTTAAAGTACTTGTATGTAATATTCAAACGATTGTCAAATAACGACAACAAGAGTGACTTAGTTATATTCGACATAATATTTTATTTATATAGGTAACATAATATTAGAAAATATAAATAAATTTAATATCAATTTCGACGAATTAATGGTCCCAAAACACCCAATGCAAAACATGTTAGTAGGATTTACCACAAAATAGAGTAGATATACTTAGATATTACACATTTTAACATTAATATAAAGCAAGACATACCTTTAAATATGTAAGTTGTTAGTAACATTTTGATATTTTACCTAATGTAATAAAACCTTGTTACTCCTAGAGACTAGACTGCATAATGGTACTACATACACAGATATGGTTGATAATAGACCAACAATTAAGACCTAACTATAGGTATGTAGATTAGGTAATGTTATTATGTTTTATTATGCCCAGTTACCTTATTTACCATAAAATGTAGGAAGTTACGTACTTTTTATTATTGTCCCTCAATAAATAATTGATTTCTTTCGTGGTTTCTCAAAGTTAAATGTTACTTCTGGTTAAAAAGCATTAGCTAAAGATATCTTTGTTGAATTAATAAAACAATTCTTTAAATGAGACGTGCGTTCCCAAGTTTCCTTGCCTAAAAGCGAAGCTATTGATTGTTACCTGTTACCACTCCAATTTTAGTGTGTGGGCGGGAAGATAACGGTTCATTTGTTTCATTGTTAGGGGCGGAAAACTAAGAACAACTTTGTACCTAGTTTTCCTTAACTAAGTAAATAAGCAGGCATTGTGTGTTAGGTACACAAAAAGGTCATAAAATAAAATAGGATAACATTTATGAAAAATATTTATTCAATTACCTGAATGTGTCACAGTTACAAGAAATATTATGAATTTTCATTGAAGAATGTTTTGTAAATCAAAATAAAATGTTTATTTCTTTATAAAAAATTTTTCCTCATTTAGAATTTAGTATTTATCAAGTAATTTTAAAGAATTGGCAGTATACTCTGTACTCGTACAATTGTAAATAAATATTAAAAAATAAATTATATTCATGAAATTGGCTCGGTTTATAAAAAGTATTATATCTCATTACAAGATAAGATCCGAGGACCTTCATCAGTATCATGAATCATCTTAGAATAATTATAGATAAGTACGTAGAAAAACGTAACTGGAAATTCGATCCAAGTCTAATAGTAGATATATTTATAAATACAAACATTGGCAGTTCTTTTAACTCAACAAAAATATGACACGGGTGTAATTAATATAAATTTTAAATGTGCAACGTTTTGATGGATGAAAACACTGAACTATGTATACCTACTCACAAATTAGGTAGATATTACTACTTAGTTACTCAATCATTCAACAAATTTACTTTCTGCGCAACTTATTAATATCTTAGGTATCTAACAATTTTGCAACTTGTATGTACATCATTATCTAATTTATTCGGCAAAAATACTTATAAAAAACGGTTTTGACTAATATTCTACTGTTTACTACAGTCAATAGGTACTCAACACATCTAAGATGGCGGAGTTATAATGATCCATGAATGTCACTGATATAACAGATACTTGTAATTTATTATTTTACTACTAACTATTTTCCTATTATTTCTATCGCTCATAACAATGTTACAACGACAAAATCCAATGGCCTTCCAGTTGGCGTACGTATATATATTTTAAATAATACTATTTATATGCTAATAGTAGAGAGCATTACACCAAACTAATATTCATATACGTCATACAGGTACTGAACATGTATATATAGTTACAAAATAGTAATAAAAAGATACCAAAAATATTCCTTGTTAACCATATAGTTCGCACGAAGCAACGAAATCAAGCTAACATTAATTATTTCGAAACTAGAAGCATACACAACATAGGTTACCACTTAGATCTAAAACGAACAAAGCGACATCTGTTTTGTGCAAAATCGAATTTAAAGTAACAACCTTTGCAAATTAAGTACTTGAAAAGTGTAATTTGTAAGCAATTATTGGTTGAATAGTCAAGTATATAATTAAGGCATGGAAAAAGTGTGTGTACTTCCCTGTTTTGGAACAGATCAAGGATATATATGTTTAATAATATTACTTTTAGTCTACTAGTCAGGGAATTTGAGTCTTTCGCTCGCTGCGATTCTCTCCGGTGCTTCGATACAGCTGATAAAAATGATTACAAACACCATACATTTAACGCGCTTATATTATTAGATAGTATTGTGATTTAACGTTTTAAGAAAACATATATTCTGAAGTGAGTAAACGTTTTACAGCAGTGTTGGAACACCGTTGGACATTTAAAAATGGAAAACAGGACCTTATATTCAGCCTATTTAAACATAAAATGCGATTGAATACATTTTTGGAGTTTCATTCGAAACATTAGCACAGTCGTAGATAGAAAATAATATTAAAAAGACATATTTTACACAGTCAGTCAGAATATACGGGATACGTATTATACAAACCCATATATGTTTAAGATAGGTATGTTTAGGTAAATGTGTTAAAAAATATAGAAATAACAATCAAGGCATTATAAATACGTAAAAATTGTGCGTTAGTAGTTCAAAAATAATTCAGCTTTACCGTACGCCAGTTGCATTGCAACCGAAAGTTTATAAAATAGGAGTCACTAGAAGCGACGAAATGTGGCAAAGCAATGGACGGAGGGGAAGAACGGAGGGGATATTTTCTCGATGGGCAAACTGACGATGAAATAGTAACAATCGAGATGTAATACAGGAGATTTTAATATATTTTTTATCACAGGCATTTGTAGTAGACGAAATAAAAAATTATCGAAATTGGTCAAAAAGAAAGTATTAAGAGACTTAGTTTTTATGATCCCTAAATTCTTGTTATGATCTGGGTGTAATGTAAGTATATAGGTCCAATTTCATATGAAATTGTATGTTTGTTACCACACCCACGAGTCGACAACATGACAAAACCTGAGAATGGCTACGTTTTAAAAAAATGTTGTGGTCTCTTGTTTATGGCTACAAAGTAAACACTCTCATATTCAATTTGACGAGCAACCTTATAAAATCACTATGAAATTATCGAAATAAAGTGTAAAATGCATAAATAAATTAAGTTCGTTTTGAACCAAGTAAATTAAGTAGATAAATATTAATTTAGCAAAACACGGAAGGTACAAATATGAGTAATATTGTGCGGAATATTTAATCTATTCAAATCAAAGCTTTCATGTTTCCATAATTGCTTAAGTACTATGGCCACGCAAAATTCGAACTGAATAAAACGGCAAATCATTTTTATTGTGGCCGTTAAACTGTGTCGAATTGTGTGCTATTTTATTTGTATGACTTTATTATAAAGAAAATAATCAAGAGTGAGGGAATTAACTGGTTATTATATTTTTCATCTTGATAATAATTGCTTAAGCTTTTATATAAGCGTGGACGATGTTTGTACAAAGCAATTAACTCCTTACAGGGTTAAAGTCAACGATTAAATACTTAATTGATATGTAGCACGATGTTTTCAATTAAAAACTTAAAAAATATAGGGTTTTTGAAAATACCTATTCCATTGACCTGACTTAATGTAAGAAAAACGTTATATTATGCGATAAATTCATGAATATCACAAAATTACAAAAATATATATATCATAGACATTCATTACAAAACAATATCTTCATTAAAATAATAGGTATGTTACAACATTTAGCTGTAGCTTACCCAGAAACTAGGCCCTTTGTACATAGTTTAGGGCACAGCACCTTGCCACTCCAGATAATACCACAAATACACATTCTCACTTCTTTCTCTTTAAAAAAAATATATAAAACTGGAAAGTTACAATCCGATTATTTTACGATAAAAATTCGAGATTATACATTATATTACAGCTAAACAGATAGAATTTAATACTTATTACAATCGATTTTTTAAACAACACAGTTGTTACATTCGTACTTAATCAGTACCTACCACTTCCTAAATACGCGCTACATTAATTTAAAACCGTAATTATTTTCAATTTATTATTTGAATAAATTCAATTTCTTTAACATTATATTCATTTGATAGATATTCCAACAACAAATATGTTTCGTCCCTTAGCACCTTAATATTAGTTTCTACTACAACAATATTTTCATTTTACACAATTATATCACATTTAAATTGCACATGCAGAGAACAAAAACCAATGATACAAAACAGATGTTAATTCACCGAATATTTGGAACTAACTTTAATAACGTTCACAGGAGTGTATCCTCTGGAAAACTCGCGGTCTTCCGGGTTGCACACACCACTATCCTCCCGTGCCATTAAAATACTGTGCGTGTTTCGTGTATGGAGCTGCAATGTGATAAGGCGGAGGCTGACCTCGACCGTAAACTGGCTCAGAAATGCTAGGACTATGCCGGTGGTTAACCACACTCGGCGGATTAGATGAAGCCGGAATGGAATCATATAAATCATACATATTTTGGCTAGTGGGTGAATGTACGTGACTGTAACTTCCATCATCGGATATCAGAGGGGTGGTAGCCATCCGATACGGATTGGTCGAGTTAGTATGCCCCGTCGGAGAGTACAATTCTGGCGACTGCGAGGATATGTAAGTAGGACTTGCCGGTATACCGTAAATATTGGCATTTTGTGGCTGTGGTTGATGCAGGGCTGTTGAGTATTCATGACCTCCTACTACAGCACCTGGATATACGTTACTGTAACTACTTAAATTTGGCATAGTAGTTGAACTAACCACTTGACTAACAGTGTGTAACCTAGGACTTGGCAAATCACGATTCCCATGAGAGTGGTAATTATAGGCGTCATAATTCCGCTGCCCATAAATTTTATCTTTGGCACGCGCACAATTGTCGCTATCATATATACTTTCATGATAATTATTTTCTGACACTGAATGACATATGTGATCTTTCCTAGCATATAGTGGATCATAAGGAGATAAATTTTCCATGACAGGTCTCGTGCTATACGCAGTTTCGCTAAAATGTGGAGATAGAACAGCTTCGTTGACAGGTTGTCTGTCTTGTGAACTAAGACTCAGCCTCTGTAGTCGATTATGGGTTTCATCAACCCCTACCCGGTAAGTAGCGTCAGTTGGTAATGGATAATTTTTATGTTCTATATGGCCACGGTATACATTTTGTGGTAAAGGTACATTTGCTCTATCCATTTCTTGTCTAGAACTGTATTTATCAGTCTGTTTTGAACTATATTGTCTTTGAGGTAAAAGGTAATTATCACCATTTTCTGATTTAAAGTCACCACCAGGAGTCCCAGTATTTTCAGGATACAAAGCATGGTCTACACTTTTATAACTTTTATCATGTTCATATGAAAGATCTAGTGGTTTATCATATGCATTCTCAGCTGGAAGATTGTCGTATACAGATGTTTTCAATACTGGATCTTTGTTTGTGTTACCTAAATTACCTTTTCCTGTATTTTCTATGTCTAATTTGTTGTCTGATGCAAATCTTTGTTGTAATGTGGGTGTTATTTTAGCAGCTTTAATGTGTACTGCATTTTGCATAGGCGGAGTAACATCTTGAGTACCATCTTTGTGTATATTTCTGGCATGCTTTGCTAATGCTCTTAATTCTTTGGGGTAAGGTGTTGGAGCTCGCTTTAACTGTCCTGGCTTTTCAGTAACTTTTGGAGCGGCTTTCATGTCAACAAAACTGATATGACGGGCTGATGAGTTGGCTTCCACATTTTCAGATTTATCATTTTCCAATTTCATTTCAATAGGAGTTAAAGGCACTTGGGGAAAGAGGAAACAAGTGAGGACTTGTTCATATGTCTGAGGATCTACTTCAGAATGCATAGGCACTAAAGGTTTGCTTTGGTTTTCTGATAGCCAGAGGGCTACTAAATTATCACAATTCAACAAGGACTGGGGAAGACAACTTAGTGAATTCCTTACTAAGTTTAACACTCTTAATGAAGTTAGATGACCAACTTCTGGAGGGACTCTGGTCAATTTATTTGATCTCAAGGATAGCACGGACAATTTGGTACAACTTCCTATTTCAGGAGGTATAGCTGTCAACATATTATCATCAATATTCAGATATTTCAATTTTCTCAGAAGTCCTATAGAAGATGGTATTTTATCTAAGTAGTTGCACATGAGCATCAACTCTTCCAGATTAGCTAGTTGTCCTATGCTCTCTGGTATTGAATATAATCTGTTATTATCTAGTTTTAATGTGGCCAGGTTGCACAATTGTCCAATGCTGTCTGGCAACTGTGTCAAGATATTTAATGATAAAGTTATATCCACCAATTGAGTGCAATATCCAATCTCAGGAGCCAGCTCTTCAATCATATTATTACTGGCTTCCAAATGTATCAAGTTTTCTAATGGTTTTATAACAGATGTAATGCATGTCAAGTTGTTGTTGTCAATCCACAACTCTCTTAACTTGACAAATCTTCCAATAACTTCAGGAAATTGTTGAAAATCATTTTGCCCTATATCTAATCTCTGTAATTCGGTTGATCGAGACAGTGACTTCGGTAAAATCATTAAATAATTGTCCCTTAATTCAAGTATTCTTAAATTCGCTAGACGTCCGAAATTACCTGGAAGATACTCCAGGTATGTATCATTTAGGTACAGCTCTTGTAATGCAGTCAGGTTTGTAATAGCATCTGGCAGTTTCTCTAAGGGATTAACACTAAGGTCAAGAAAAGCTAAATACTTTAGTGCTTTCATGTTTTCTGGTATTGATGTTAATGTATTCCTACTAATATTTAAGTGTTGAAGATTCACTAACGAAGATATGGCTGCTGGTATAGTTGACACTTCATTATCACTAAGATCCAAGTATTTTAATCCATGGCACATAAACAGTTGGCGCGGGAGCTCCGTCACACGATTACTCTGACAATAAAGAGTTTCAAGCGTCCTTTCATACACAAAAACTTCAGTGGGGAAGTCTACCAGGGACTGGTGCGAATAGTCCAACTCCACCACATCTTCGACACCAGGTCTAACACAGCACAGAAAATCGAAAGGCATTATGTTGGACTTTAATTTTCGAATCTTACAAAACACAACTACACTTTTTTGATACAAAAATCCACAAAACACGGTCTGTCCAAATCACTGACATTGTTTGTAGAATTTTAACATTGCGGCGCTTCTTGTCAGTTAGTCACAGTGATGAAAACTCAGTAAAAAGTATAAAATTACTTATTAATGAATCACTCAAACAAAATAATGATAACCTTCCCCGCCCGACCAATCCCAATAGTATTCTCATTTTCCTAAATCCGTCCGTCACTTCTACTTCTGTCGTTCTTTTCATTGATGAATCGCCTGTCGCCTCGCTTCATAATTTGTCTATTGGCTATGATTGACTATTATACAGATGATATAAAAATACTAATTACCTCTATGGTAACCCCGTCAATGGGTATTAGCCTAATACGTAATCGACTAAATTCGAAATTTAAAATCGATTTTCGAATCAATTAGATCTCGTCATTTGTAATTATTTTCATTTTTATTGGTAATAAAATAGAATATAAAGGTGATGATATAAAATAAATATAAATGTGCTTTTCGTTAAAATTCTTCTTATATATAATACTAGGTGTGCCCTGTGTTTCACTCGCGTAGTTAACATTCGCCCGTTTATAAAAATAAAAATATTACAATACATTTAAATGTAAATATTGACTAATTTACCTTTAAAGCAATTCTATTGATTTTCAGTTAAACCAGTCAAACAACCTATTGTGTAGCTTCCGAGCCACAACCGTTCTTTTCCTTTCAGTAACTAAATAAAGCGTGATTTATATTTAAATTAATTTATTGCACTAATTTTAGACGACAATTAAATAAATAATGACAATTTAAGGAAAATAGGCTGAGACTGGCGTTGCTCGATAGGTGGATCCTCGAGTAGTTTTTTTTTCCTTGTAGTTTACTTTAGGTAAATTTATATTCATATTCTCTTTGCCTGCTTGATTTGTCGGGTTAAACTTAGTTTTCGCACCTGTCAATGACAAAAACAAATTATGTAAGTTTTACATTTGCATACATTATTAAAACTGTGTGGATATTGTCCATTTACCTTTTCCTATTTGGTTATCACTTTCAGAAGGTTGTAGATATTTCGGATCAAGTCCTACTTTAGTAACTTTTTCTTGTACTGCAGGGCCGGGCGACTCTTCCAAATTTGATGCTCTACAAACAAATCTCAGTTAGTATAAAGAATAGAAAAGTGGGATTCACTTTGGCAAATCTCCACCTAACATAGACATATTTTTTTCGAATAACTTACGATTTGGAAGTGCCATAGAAGTCAATAGATTCTTCAGTCAAGCCATGTGAAGAATCAGTGTGGTTATTATTTCTCGACAAGAAGTATGGGGTCGAACTTGTTGCTGTTTGTATACCAAGCCTTTTGGCAGGCCCTGAATCCGATGGTTCCATATTATCCAATTTTTTGTGAAGCCACTGTATTACTGAAAGAGAAGGAATTTTATTTTTTCCATTTTTTTATTTTAAATGTTGCCCACACTAGCATTTTCTCGTGTGGGCGTTTAGAAGCAAACCTACAGTATATATAATAATATGATGCATATCTCTCTACATATTAACTATGTTAATAATGGCAATCGTAAGCCATAAAAGAACTAGCGAAGAGGATATTGCATCTACATACATATATAATGATTGCGTTTTTAAAGTTACATAGTTAGAAGATTTCAATCTCACCCATAGTATTATTTTTAATAGTTTCGTCTCTGTCTTTAAGAGCTTTCTCATTAGCTTCATATTTTTCCTTTAAATCATTTAATTCTTTCTGTAATCTGTCCATACACTGAGTAGTACTGTTGATTCGCGCTCTTAAATCTTCAATCTCGTTATTATTACGTTCTATGACTTTTTCTTGTTCCAATGCTATTGCTGTTCTGCATAGTAACTGAAAGTAAAAGGAACTGTGAAATATGATACAAGTTAAAAGTAATTAAGCTTAAATATCTTCGATAGCAAATTAAAATGAAATTGACCGTCTCATTAGTCGAGTAGTGGTTGCAAGTGTGAAAGCTGAGCAGGGTTCAGTTTCGTTTTCCACCAGTAAAAAATTATATGTTTATTTTAACCGTCGGGTGTGTTGCGATGTCTAGTTTTGCTATATTTTAATTGTGGCGTCGAATAAAAATAACATGACAATATTCAGTGCCCATCGCCATACCATTAGGTGACTCGCATCCGTCTGACATACCATCGATTTGCCTAAAATCTGCCATCTGCAATGAAAGGATTAAGAGAAATACACATTTTTTTTAATATTTTCACTAACCTTTTCCTTCATCTCAATTAAATCAGCATTTTGTTTAGAAATAATTTGATTTGCCTTCAAAAGCTGCTCAGATGTTGATTGTACAGCATCATTATTCCTGTTCACAAGTGATTCACTCAAAGCTAATCGCTCTTCCAAACTTAACTGTAAAATAAAAGTTTAGTTTTTTATTTACATATTTATTTAAACCACTAAAAATATGTTTTAAATACTACTATAAAAGATGTCATAATATTTATAAAAATAGGAGTCAGCCGGCAGTATGTCCAAACTACAGATGGTTATGCCTCCAGTGTCAGAAAGCTCTTAACAACACATGCTGTATTAAGCAAGACTTCCTTCTGTATCTTATCAGGCCGTTCACCCAGGTGATTGTCGAGGATTTTGGGGAATAACCTCGATAGCCAAATCTAACTACTAGTCTATATTATTATTATTTTATTTTAATGGATTGATATGTTTCCAGTATCTTGCATGGTGGTAAGTATAGATGCAGCCTACTAGGGAGCATATTATTGCTCATAAACAACCTATTCATTTGGATCTTGGTTCAGTTAGTTTAGCAGTATTCAGACAGTTTTAAACAAAGTAATGTGCTTAATGGTAAATGAAACATACCTTCTCCTTTTTAGCTATTTGCAGAGAACTATTCAATTCTTTTATGACATCAGAATTATCTTTTATTGTCTGTAAAAAAAAACTTTCCTTTTAAAATAACAACTATAAAAAAATAGATTGTAAATATATTTTTATTTTGATATATGATGTGCAAACCTTTTCTAAATAACCACATTTGGAATTCAATTGATGGTACTGTTTCTCTTTTTCCATAATATCCCTTTCTAATGAAGCATTTTTAGCTTTCAGAGTTGCTACTTCTATGTGAGATTTTTGCACTTCTTTTTCAAACATATTCATGCATTGGGTCTTTTCACTGAAACCATTTAAAACAACATTTGTATAAAAATTACAAAAATGTGACCAATAATAAAAACAGGATTATCCATAATTCAGTTTTAAACCTTATATCATAATCTCAATTTAAATTACTTTGGAAAAGTGTTTTTTTTTATTATATATATATGCATCATAAATTGTGTTGGTAAGCGCAAAACTTTTCCGAGCGGACGGCGCGTATCGTTCCGCGCGCGCCTCAAAGTGCCAATAGACCACCACAGACATGTTGTTGCCGGGGTTGCGGAACAAGCGCAATGAGTCACCGCGGCCTCGGCCCAGAGCAGAAGGAATGGGGGTTTTTAGTCCGTAAGAGTCTGACATGCACAGGTTCGAGCAGCACCCTTTGTATAATTGTTGTGTAAGTTAGTTTTCCTTTTGATAACTAAGTAAGTACCTAAACTGATAAACTGACTGTTATTTTACAAACTTCAAGACTATGTCTATTGGTATACTTTACTTACCAAAACAAACTGACGAAAGTTGGTTACAAAAATGGGGAGATTGTTGCAAACCATTAAGTGTAAAAACAGCAGTTTTTTTGTGAGGGGAAAATCATAAAATGACTTCTCCCGCCCAGGGCCGGGCAGGAGGGAGTGTCAGACTCTTACTGACTAAAAACCCCCCTGTTCCTTCTCCTGCTCTGTGCCGAGGTCGCGGTACCTCATTGCGCTTACCCCGCAGCCCCGGCTGAACATCAGCCCTTTAGGGCCCCGACTGTGGTGGTCGAATGGCTCTTTGAAGCGCGCGCGGAACGCTACGCGCCGTACGCTCGGGCCTGGTTCTGGTCGGGCGGCGAGCTGCCCTTACTCGCCGACCGCAGGCCCGTGCTTACGGTGGCCGGAGATCGTCCCTCGATCCCCGACGCCCGTAGTGTCGCCAGTTGCGGCTGCTGGGGCGTGAGGAGGAGGATTGCTCCCTCACGCGGGCCGCCTCTCTCTTTGCGAGCATGACTGCTTCACAAAAGGAGGAGACGGCGTCCCAGTTCCTCTCACTCCGCACCATGGCCTCGACTAAGGCCGGGCACGAGAGGTCGTCGCCGCCGATCACTTCCCTGAGGATACGGCGGTGCTCAGCCCAGGCAGGGCATACCGCTACCGTATGCTCCACCGTATCCTCTAGGTGGTCCTCACAATGACGACAATCGGGCGTTTCCTCCCGCTGAATCCGAAACAGGAACCTACCGAAGCTGCCGTGCCCGGTAAACACCTGCGTCAGACGGAAGGTGAGGACGCCGTGGCGTCTCTCAAGCCACTCCTCAAAGAGGAGTCTTACCGCTGCTATGGTAGCGTGCCCGGTAAAAACAGTAGTGGACTGTCATGGACTACTTATAAACTACAATTTGTTTGTGAGCTATAGATATTAAATGTCTATATAATGACCAAGATGATTTCACAAACTCAGATCAAGTATCATAAACTTTGAAAAATTACCTTAATTGATTTTCTAGGTGTCGAATGTTGTCTTTTAGTTGCCTGCAGTGAGAATTCAATTCATCTGCCTGTTTTTCTTTTTGGTTTAAGTTCTCCTGATAGGTTGTCAGCTGTGTTTTGAGGTTCAAATCTGCATTCTGCTGCCAGAGCAGTTTTTCCTAAGTAAAGAAGATACAAGGTAATCATCTTCATCTTATATATAAAAATGGATCGCAAAATGTGTTGGTAAGCGCATAACTCAACAACGCCTGGACCAATTTTGCTAATTCTGTTTTTGTCGTGTTTGTTACTGTCAGGAGAAGGTTCTTATCAACGAAAATATAAGAAAAGTAGAGGGGAAGATTAGGAAAAAGTTACCCTTTGATAGCGAGATAGTTGGACCCGTGCGAAGCGGGGGCCGGCCGCTAGTATTTAAATAAAACATATCTGAGGCTGGGTGTCAACCCATGTGTGTGTATTAGTGATGTAACGAATCAAAGAGTATGTATGTAACCACTACGTTTCCGAATATTGAATTTTTCACATTCGCGAATGCGAATGCGATTACGAATATTTATCTTCAACATTCGCGAATGCGAATATTTTAAAATTTCAAATAAAGCGCGCGTAAAGTGTTTGACAGCTTTGACGCTTCGTGTCGGCCATGTTTAAATTGAACATAGTCGAGCGGGCATTGGTTAATTGAATGAATTTAGTCACAGAAAGTAATATTTAATTCCTCAGATATATTTATAAAGTGGAATGTAAAAATATACATTTAAAGTCAAAGGTTATAAATACTTCATACATAAAGTAAAAAATAGTTTATTTGTGACAGACAATTAAACTATTTTTATATTATTATTTTTTTACATTAGATATTTTAAGTTTAATAATTTTGTTACAAGTGATATAGTTTAGTTATTTGGTATATAGAAATTGTATACTTTATTTAAAAATAGTAGTAAAGTTATAATGTACTACTAAATGAATGCAAACCTTACATAGTACAACTAACGAACAAGGCTGATTCATGTTAAATTTGATCAGATGTCAAGAAGTTATTTTCCCATAAATGAGATTTTTTTAGAATGTAGAAGTATGATTTAATAAAAATATGTAAGTGTGATCTATTGTATTATTATTTCATATACATGCATATAATAATTTCCTTTTTAATTATCAAAAACATTCGCTAAATATTTGCATAATTTTTACGAATGCGAATATTGAAAAATATGTGGATATTCACGAATGCGAATGAGAATATTCGTTACATCACTAGTGTGTATATGTGAATCCACTATGGGTTGCCTTTGGCCACTTATGAGGCTGAGTAAGTAATAAATATGTTTCTGTTATTTACCTGTAGGAATTTTTCTTTTTCTAACTTTAAAGTCTCCTTAAATTCTACTTCATATTTCAACTTTTCTTCCTCCATTCTTGTTATCATATGAGTCAATTCATGGATTTTTCTGTCCATATTCTGACATTTTTCGTTTAGTACAGCTTCATTACTCATAGCTGAGCTTTTCAGTGATGATAACATTTTCTGGAATTAGGTAAGTGAAAAGATCAATAACTTATTTTATTTAAAATCATTATGTGTTGGTAGAACAGAATAGTTATGTTTGCTGCTCCACTTTGTTCTGACTATCTATTATGAGAGGGTTAAGCTGTGGAATGAGGGAACATAGATCTAAGAAAGATAGAATATATCTTATTTTTACTTGCACTGAGATCTTTTGCCAATCAAACACCGAATTGTGGATGTTATGGCTTACTCTCTTATTTGGAGAATTATCCACCTGTTAGATGTCATCAATACTTAAACTATTTCTTAGCAACAACTTAATTCAGAAAACAATTATAAAGGATGGGATAAATTACCTTTAATTGTATTATTGTACTGGCCATATGCTGTTTAATCTCATTGTCTGTTGCAGGTCCAGACTTCAGAGATAAATGTACAAGTCTCTTAAATTCATTATGTTCCACTATTTCTAAATAATACTGTATAGGATTCTTCTGTTCCATAATCAAGAACCTGGAAGAAATTTAGTCATATTTACAAAAAACAATACAATTTTGTAGTATTAGGCTTCTGAGTCGAATGAGGGGTAAATGTTGACGGGTTGAATCCAGTTCTTAAATATTGTCACCAATTTATCATACTCACATATTGTTTGAAGCACATTGTTGCAACAGCCTTACGAGTTGTGAAGGAAAATTGTCAAAATCTACAAGGAGACCCTGCTGCTTCTTTAAGTCTTCATAGTCCATACGTGAAATCGTCAGAACACACAAAAAAGTGGGATCCTCGTCGTCAGACAATGATATTCGCTGGAAACAGATGTATAATACAATAATTCATGATTTAATATCATAGCAGATAAGTTCGTAAGTAAAAAGCTACTTTACCAAAGCATCACTTTCAAATAGTTTGTCAATCGCTACAGTCACATCTTTCTTGCAATCTTCGAAACCTCTTTTAAAAGTAATGTAATATTTTTCTTTGTGGAAAGTTTTAAAAGCCATTTTTACAAGTTTAACATATCTACGAAAACTAAATATTCAAATTATATATACTGGGTACGAAATATTATGAAATAGTTATAACTTTCAATTAATAAAAACACTCAAACAAAATTCAGTACAACATTGTTTGAAAACAACTGTCAAACAAAAAATGAAAGTGACAGTTTCATTACAATGTCAAGACCATAGACTACATTTATCTATATAGATATTATATTTTCTGGACTGGAAATTCCATGGAGTCATGGAATAATTAAAGGTTAAGGGTTCTAATTCATTTTCAAAACTGCTGCCGGTACAATCGAAAATAGTTCCTAAGTGTGTCTCTGTTTTTATTATTTTTTTATGTTATAATGTCTTGTTTTGGATTTTTTACTCTTGCAAGAATTTTTATAATGTCAATTTTCCAAACTGCTATTTCCCGCCCTCCGGAGACGTGTTGAAACTTGTCATAAAACTAGATTCATATTCATTTTGAAGGATTTGCACTGTATTTTAAGATTGTTTTCTATTTTGTTGGTTTTCGTAATTGTAATTCACACAATGTGGAACGGTGAGTATAGTTAATAGTCCATTGAATATCAATATCTATTCAATTGGCTGAAACATTGCGTTCCAACACCTACGGTTTCCTGTATTTCAGATCAATCTGCAGTTGGTGGAGGTTTCTTCAACTCTCCAAATCAATTTGGCAACGTAAACACACCAAATCAAGCTCAGAAATCTGTAAGTATCAATCATTACGATCAAAAACTAGTACGCTCTGAACTACTGTTTTAACTTTGTATGTTAATTATTTATTTCATTTAGGCTCGAAGATCATCACGTACAGCCCCTATTGTTATTAAACAAGCTCTTCACAGTGGTGATGATGGTGTCAAGATATGGGGCACAGAAATCCAGATTGTTTGTATTGTGGCAAGGGTTCGAAACATTCGAATGCAAAGCACAAAAATTACATACACCTTACAAGATATTACAGGAAGAATGAGAGCTGTACTTTGGCTGGATCAAGATGCAGCTGATGATGAGGTAATAACAATTAGAAACCTAGTTGCTTAATTTGGTGTTTATTCAATTTACAAAAAATACTTATTGGTTTCAATATGTAAATAATTTTTATCATACCTTCAGGATAAATCTGCACCCAAAGTGCAAGTGAATGACTACATAGAAGTGTTTGGTACAGTGAAAACTAATAAAGGAAGGAAAGTACTGATGGCCTTCAAAATTATGCCAGTAACGGATATCAATGCAATCACATTCCACTACTTACACTGTATACAAAATAGACTCAAAATGGAATGTGACTCTAAAAAGGTAATTATGAGATCCTTGTTTGACCATAAAATTATATTGATGGATATAATGGTGGCTTACTGTTTACTAATATTTTGGGCATTTTATTATTCATCTCTTTTGCCTACAGGAAAAAGTTGAGAGCAATAATTCTACTTTTGCTACTGGTTTACCTGCAAATTCAATGGTTGGTGTAACTGAAAATAGTGGTTCAGTCAATGGCCTCAATCCACGGCAAATGATGGTATTTAACCTCATAAGAGCTTCTACTATGGAGCAGGGTATCAGTAAGGAGGATATGTATGGTAGTCTCAAGGATCGTATGTCACAAGTTGAATTTGAGTAAGTTATTTAATTTAAATTCACCTCACAATTTAAAATATCAAATAAAAATGCTTGTGTTAATTAAATATTATTTAAAATGCTTGTGTTTTTCAGAAACATTCTTGAATGGATGTGTGGAGAGGGCCACATCTATTCCACAATTGATGAAGAACACTATCGTGCAACTGATGCTTTCTAATTCTGCATTTTATACTATTATATCTAAGAAGTTTCAATATTGTTACATTCTCACATAATCACTGTAAGTATTTTGAATTAAAAAAAACTATAAGTGCTTTTGGTATTTTTATTTATTCGAAACTTTAGTGAAAAATAGATTCAACCTTTTCAGAAATAAACTGATTACTATATATACACAGAATTGACACAAACAAGTACTCTTACAAAATATAAGATTACAGTAAATAATTATTAATATAAAATAATATTGATCAGTTTCAATGTTCTGTAAACAAAACTATAGAGATAAAAATATCATAAAAACATTGTAGTTATTGATAAATGCTGTCTGGAAACTCAAAGTATTATCCTATAATGTAGCTTATATTTATTATAACTCATCACGGAGAGATTTATTTTTAATATCAGGTTTCTTTCCAGTATATGTTTGACTTTCTAATTGTACATCCTTGAGCTCTTCCTGTTCTAAGAGGAATTCCTTTGCAGTCCAAGCTTGAGATCCATCTTTGAACATGAAAATTGCTCTATCATCATCTACAAGATATCTGAAACAGAAACACAAGATAATTAAACAATATAAAAGTAGTAATTATAAATAAATATTTCATTTGGTTTGTAGAAAATGTTATTATTACAGCCCTCTTTCACATTAATGTAATAAAATTATAAAGATGAAGCCACTAGCCAGCACATTCAATCTGACTACACAGAGAAGAAGAGAACTGAATATGAAGTTGATTCTGTATGATAAATGCTTTGGAAAGATTAGTACATAATAAAATTTTATGGCAGTTGCTACTTGCTACTCACCTCTCCACTTGAATATGGTTACTCCACAAACTGGTCTGCCAGATCTTAGTTAGTTCTTCAGTTCTTGCTCTGGAAGGCTTATTTGCTACTGAGACAAACATCATCAAAGTTTGTCCTTTTTTAGTGGCTTGTAAGACATTTGCTGGGTCTGACATGTCCAGCTTGGTAAAATCTATAGAAGGAGGCTTTCGAAGGTATTCTGGTTTTTCATCTTCTGGCAAGGGTTCCTCATCTTCTTCCCATTGATCGAATAATCTACAAAATTAGAAGATTAATTAAACCTCATTGTCATACCTTAGATGGTTTCTATCATAAGTAATAATTATCAAGAGCTTGTTTACAGTTACTGCATACATTAAGAGAATTCATAATACCTTTCCATATCAGCGTCAGAGAAGTCTCTGATGTCTTTTTTAGCCCAATCCGGCTTTTCTTCATCTTTGGCTTTCTTAGCTAAGCTTATGGAAAAACATATACTAAATACTAAAAGAATAAATAACTTGTTCATTTTAGATTAAATACTTTAAACTGATATTACTTATATTATGATATTGATTTAATTTAATAATATCGACGGTACAGTGGAGCAATTTTTTGTTAGAGCCTCGCAAACAAGAAATAATTATTATTCACCACCGAAATCACTGAATTATCGCGATGACAGCAATGTGTAAGTGAATTGTACAACACGTTTTGTAACTGTAAATAAATCTATAATTTAATGCGACAGGACAGACACAGCACCACATCAACAATAAGTTTGACAATTATGACATAAGAAAGAGTGACACTCATTTGAATGAAATTTCTCGTGTTTTTTTTTTTGAGTTTATGGCCTGGATACAAGTCTTTTAAGCCAAGTCTTTTAATTTTCTCGTGTGTAGTTTTGAAACACAGATAAACATATTTATTTAATTACTTTATGCACAATAAAAAAAATGAACAAAGGTGGGCTTAATGCCATTGGCATTCTCTAACAGCACTTTGGGTGTTGCAGAGATAAATTTAAAGGTACACAAAACAAGCATCATCAGAGACGTACTACACTTTAAATATATATATACATACATAATATATATTACATATACAATAATAATATAATTACATATACTAACTACTTAAGAGTATAAAGCAATTCTCGAACCTTTTACTAGAACGTCCATCGATTCGAAACCATCCTGACATCAAGGGTATCAAAATATAGCGTAAGTAACGATAAAGTATGATGAGATGCTGCATCTGCAAAAAGCATAGCGAAAAAGGCTTCGAGGTCCTACTGCTGCCTCATCAAAATTGATGACTGACTCGGGGGCTTAAAGGCTCTCTATCGTATCGTTAAATGTCGTGGTGGCCCGGAGGTTAACGAGCCCGCTTCTCATGCATGAGGATGTAGGTTCGAAACCTGGCAAGTACTAATGTGACTTTTCCGCGTTATATGTACTTTCTATAATTATTTAGACACCACTGACATGCGGTGAAGGTAAATATCGTGATTAAACCTGGACTTATAATTTCTAATAATAAGTTTAAAATCGTCAACCCACATTGAGCAAGCGTGGTGATTAATGCTCTTACCTTCTCCGTATGAAAAGAGGCCTTCGCTCAGCAGTGAGCACTTACAGGCAATCTGTCGCTGCTGACTATTATTCAAAAAACGGTAGGCAGTACAGTGTTGTCCTACTCTGAAGGTATAGGTATTGTCACAAAAGGAGGCCGCGGAAAGAGAAAGGGAAGTAATTTGTGACCTCCCTCTCCTCTTCTCACCTACAGCAGACGCACCGGGCGTAAGAACATAAGCAGCTAAATCTGCGTGGTAAATCCACGCAATGCAATTTGAGGTGGAATTGAGACACAAATTTCTCCACCCTTACGGTAACATGAGAAATGGAAAACCCAAAGCCCAGAGCAGGAGAAGGAACGGGGAGGTTTTTAGTCAGTGAAAGTCTGGCACTCCCTCTAAACATGAAATTAGTTCAGCAGGCGGCTGTTGTATCGAGTTTGTGTCATTGAGTTGATTGAGTTTGCATTGGAGATCAGTCTAATGTGTTCGCGGCAAATAAATAAGATGATTGATATTTTGAATTTATTTCCTTACTTCTACTTTTGACTACGGACATTTAACTGTTTTAAACAAGTACTTTATCCAAATTTAGAATATAGTACCTTTGCTTATTGCTTATTTGAGTTAATCATAACTTCCAAATTTACATGAGCGAATAAACATAAAAGGGTAGGGTGTTGTACCTTGACCATAGTAAAATAGTTGTATCTATATATTAATGAAATTATAATAACTTTCTTCTTCTTCAATATAATTATGGCCTCCCATTGCATATTATCTCATAAGACTACAACCGTATACTAATTCCTTCCCCTACTTGATAAAACTCGTATAACATACGATAACATAGAGTTATTTTTAATTTTAAGGTTGAAATATTTTATATTTTATGTGTCTTAATACAAATTCATTCTTTCATTCTTGGCTTAAAAGACTTGTATCCAGGCCATAAATTCGAAAAAACATATTTCATTCATCGTTCAATTTAACGTTATCGAGAGAGCACGCTGCCATCGCGATCGCCTCAAGTCAAAGTCAAAAATATTCACGTCACGAACGTTGAGTTGTCATCACGGCTCACGGGTGCTCGTTACGTCAAATCATGATTTGAGTTCCTAAATATTTTATCTTCTACAGTATTTTATATTTAATTTATATAATTTTCATTTTAATTAACGTACTTTTAGTATTATTAAAATTAAGGTGTTCAATTTTCAATTTTTCTCGGAAATATAATTTTTTTGGCAGAGTTCTTGAAAGTGATAGTTGGTTAGAGCTGGTTGGTACTTCGAGAGGATCTTCGTTTGTGTGTAGCATAGTTGCTTTAGCATCATGGACCAGAGTGGCATAACCCCGAACACTTCGAATCAGCAGCTTGTTATAAACAGTGATAATGAGTCTGCGACCGCGCTGCTACAGGAGAAGCAGAGTAGGAGAAGAGAGAATCTAAATGAAGTATCCTTTACCGAATACATGACTGTCGGAATATTGTGCTTCGTCAACCTTATCAACTATATGGACAGATTCACCATTGCTGGTAAGTAACAAAACTTTTTCCAACTTTCTTTAACTTTCAGGTGTGTAAAAGTATTTCTTAAATAATTTTCTGTATTAACAGATAAATAATAAAAATTATTAAGATTCAAGTTTGTCATGATCATAGTAAATTGGTTTCTATATTCTTATAAGAATAATATAAGAAGAAGTGATTTGACCTAATAGACAATAGGTGTACTTGTAGGTAGTGATAAGAAGGTCGAATATAATTAGAAAAAAAGGCTTTAAATTTAAAATATTGTAAATTTCTTGGGATCATGGTCAAAACTTGAATGATTCTCTTTAAATACTCACTCGCAAGGTACTTGACACATTAAAATAAAAATTCTAATATATATAAAACCTGATTTAATTTTAAATTGATTTAAGATATAGCATATATAGCAAATCTTTTAGATAAAAATATGCATACTGACATCCAATTACATTTTCTGTAATTTTGATTATGTAATCTAAAATCTTGTTACACATTCTTTAAGAAAAATACTTTATGTAAGAAAAATTCTTGGCCAGTTATAAATTTTACAGTTTTAGTGGACATTGTAACAGTAATTCAAAATCTAGTACATTAACAACCAGTACTGTACTATCAGCACTAGTATATGCAACTTCAAAATAAATTAAAAATTATGATTCTTCTTAGTAAAATTAGGAGATTAAAGTTATATGTTGCAATAACCATTTTATTTATTTAAGTTATGTTGATGACTTAGGTATGACACTTAGTAACTTGCTACCTCTAATAAAATGAATCTTCAAACTTTTTTAAACACTTCTTTGGAAAGAAGGATGATAGTTTTATCATATCTTTAAATTTATTAATAAAATAAAGCACCTATGTTATGTGCTATGCCTCATTTAAATTAAATGGTAGTGAGTAATGCAAATCCCTAAGTACAAAGACCTTGATTAAATCAATATCAAGACAGTAAGACATAGATTTAAGGCTAAGCACTCTCTATATTTGAATCTTAAATTAAATTATTGGCTGAGTTATATGTGCACTAATAGCACATAATATATCAATATGTAAAAATTTACATGATACCCACTTGGAAGTAAACAAATGCTGCAGATTGTATGTAATTGCAACACCTTCTTTTTACAGTCTATGTTATGGATTTCATGTGGTATAGTTAGTAGTGGATCTATTACCAATTAAATGTTAATAGTGTACAAACTGACAATAATTAGGCAAACATGTTTTTCTTATCCTGCTTTTTCACATAGCCATTTTGTAGTCTACTGATGTGTTTGTGTATAATGAATGCTATAAACAATCAAACGTCCTAAATATAATATTTAGGTTTTAATTATATTTTAAGCTTCATATCTTATCTACCAAAGTCACTCGTATGTTACTGCCATTGGATTGCGTAATCAATAAAAATCTTATCAACTAATGATAGGTAATGATATACAGGTAATGGTAATGTGTTATGTTGAATTCTTCTATTAATGGTCCTTTAATTATCTTTTTTTCTTCATTGGTAGACAGGCTGATTGCAGATCGTTTTGCCTAATTCGCGGGCTGGGAAAGCCGTGTTAGTTTTGGTAGATAGTGTTAATTGGAAGTTAGCAGACAGACCACCTGATGGTAGGCAATACGCATCGTCTATGAACTCGCAACATCAAAAAGTGGTAAGTGCGGTGCCAGACTTTAAGGGTTAGAGATTTGAGATTTGGTTTTGGGAATTTTTCGTGCTTTTTTATGTGATAGGGCGTGGTTTCGGAAATGTATAACAATATGCTAAAACTGGCGAAAAGTAGGTGGTAAATGGGAGCCTACCTAGGTCTCATCACTGAAAATCATAACGTTTTCTTATCCTTTACAAGCCTAAAGAAAATGAAGGGAAACAGGTGCTGCCAAATGATCCTAATAATTAAAAAGTAAACATTCGAGTAAAGCGTGCGTGACCTTAATTTCTGTTCAAACATTTTAATTGCCCAACAGATAATGCTTTATTACTTTAATTACAAGACCTAAACAAAATAATGTATTAAGTATGAAGTCATGTTCAGGTCACTTTTTGCTGACCATTACTCTCGTAATCAACTTCCGCGTAGTAGTTGTGTTGTGTCTATTTCTTATTGATACAATGTATAGAATAGGTGTAGGTATAATTATAATGCTTGTTTTGTTATTCATTTCTCATTGACACTAGATCCGCATCAGCACTTTGGATTCCTATCTTTGACATATGACATGCTAAACTCGCACTAATTAGCGGTTAGGATGGAATGTGAACATTATTCCGTCACGTATCATCACTACATAGTATAAAACAAAGTCGCTTTCTCTGTCCCTATGTATGCTTAAATCTTTAAAACTACGCAACTGATTTTGATGCGGTTTTTAAAATAGATTGAGTGATTAAAGAGTAAGGTTTATATGTATAAAAACATCTATCAAATAGTGGAGAAATATAGTATCAACATTGCAACTATGCGAAGCCGGTGCGGGTCGTTCTATGATGAAGTAACTATACATGAAATAATTACATGTTTTGCAGAAAAAAAAATTTTTGAGCTTCAAATATCTTTGTATGACATTCTTTGGCCAACGGATCCAATAGCTCACGTTGATCAGACACTGGCTGTTTCAAGGCAGAATAACTTGCCAGTAAACACAAGCGCATTCACGTGATGGAAGTACCTAAACGGTTTGCGTAATATAACTCGATATTTAACACCTCATACTACAAGGTATCTAATAACACGATTACTAACGAAAATTAAAATACAAAGTTATTTCGTAAATGGCTGTTATCGAACCATTTTTGCCAGCGAAAATGTTATAATAAATAGCTCAGTATTTTACGAATACAAATTACATATGAATGTAAGATATTTACAGTAGCTTCTTCCCTAGGTATGTGGAATACGAACGGAAGTGACGAAATTATACGGATTCCTTCCTATAGTTCTGTTGTCGGCGAAACCTTAAAATAGCGCAGTGCGACTGCATTTAAATATGGGACTTTATTCTTTTTATTTGTCATAAATGTATAATTATTGTAATGCGTGTTAAGTACTTAGAATACCGTAATATAAAATTAAATTATTTTATTACGGTAACAAACCACAAATGTCCAAAGAAACCACAATATTCGACATTAACTCGAAAATATACGTAGGTGGGTAAATTGTAATTAGATTAATTGAACAAATAATACCCGTATGTATGGATTTTTGACGAATGAATCATGGTGTCGGGACATGTTAATAGTCGAATCATACTTTTCATTAACCTTTTGTTACATCTGTCCGTTTTTTTAGATTTAGTCATCCACAACTTCATAATACGTAGACAGATACGTCATCGGTATTTTTCAAGGGTTTTGTTTAACTGCAGACTAATTTTATCTTATCTGCGATGCCAGAGCTTCTACTGATGCTAAAAAATCCGTGGTTAAAAGTTATTTAAGAAATAGTAACAATAGCGAAGTAATAGGATAACTATACAATAACTAAATTCCAGAAGCGGCGATTGTTTTTATGGTTACTTGGTGACGCATCATTTTAGGAATGAATGAATTGAATTATTTAAATGTACCAAGTAGGTATTAAAATACTCAATAAATGCTGTTAAACTGTCTATGCTTTTGGAAGACTGCTTTTATGTTTATGAGTATCTATCTCTGTGGGTCGAATACAAGAGTGTAAAGAATTTCGTTAGTCATTTTTCCAATAAGTACTAAGTATAAAATAATTAAACAAAACACTTAAAATAGTACATCGAAGACTTTCAACAAGAAGATAAAGTAATGACTTTTTACTCAACTTTACCACTTCACATCCACTCATACATGCTCGCTTACAATATGTCAAAATTTTCTAGATGGTACACTTACACTTAACATCCTACTTGTTGAGTAGCTCTTGGTCATAAAACTTCCGAAATGTTGCGTCACACTACTAGCGTGGTTAATCTTTTCATGTCGAAATAAAATGACTTCTTCCTCCGTCAAAAGCAGGCTCTAAAATAGATTAGTTAATAATCCTTTTTATCTTGGACGCACTTTACTGTCGCTACTTAAAATTCCTGGAGGAATCCTGTTACGAAATATATTCAGAACACTGCCTACGTAATGTTTACATTTTGAGTTAAGCCGCGGACGATGTCAATGACTTTTTAAGTTTAAAAACCACACAGGATCTATATAATGGAAAGAGAACTAATGTTTGTGGACAGTTACACGTTTTTACCGTTCTGTAACGAAGACAAGTTGAAAACAGAAAATGCCCTCAAAAACAGAAAAACATTCGTTACGGAATTAAAGATAAACCGAATTGTAGCTCCACGAACACTAATTTTCAACCAATACATGACCAGATAAGTTTAATAGCGTTCCGAAAGAATCAATACAGCCGGCTTCTCTTTTGTAATTCGGTAATGGATTCAAATACACGGTTCTACGTTCATCAATGCGATAAAAGTGTGTATTAGGCGTCAATAAATTTCTATGAATGAATAGTGAACGCCCAGGGTGGGAGCGACGTCACGTAATCAGAGAACTAATCTCTAATGTCTACTCACGTGCGTCAGTGCGTGGGTTCTCTTCTCATTCCTCACCGAATACAATGTCGCCCTTTAAATATGTAACAGGCGTTATTACTTGATTGTTTGTGGAATTAGGACGGGTGTTCGGACTGTTACACCGACTTATGGACGCTTCGTATGTAAATGAATGATTTATTTTTATGCAAGTTGTTGTATTTTATGAATGGTTAACAAAATGGTTAGGGAGCAGTAACTGTGTGGGTGTGAAAACCCTCAGGAAATATTCTTTTTATTGACGCTTTCTTGCGTGTAGGGGTTGATTTCCCTTGTGGGCTATCCACAACTTACCACCGCAATACATGCTACAAATAATGTTATCTAAATTAAAATCTAAAAGCAATCACGAGGTACAATTCGTCGTAGACATAAGATAAAATTTCAATGACGATTGTGGACGCAGATAAAACTAAAGCAGG